ATTTTTTGTGATTTATGCCACTACTTTCACTGACCACCACGCACCTCCCATAGGTCAACACCACCCTGAAGTTTCACCACTGCTGCTGGTACCAATACCTGCTGAAGGCACAAAGCAGCAATGACTTCTAGGAACTGCCCAGCAGTTGCTGCAACAGAATAGGTTCAGCCAGCCTAGATCACTCATAATTTTTGCGTGGCATTTTAATGGCTGCTGCTTCTGCCTACACAATCACCCTGCGGACAGTGCTGATTTCATGTGCTCTGGGAAATGCTTGAATTCATCTTGAAGATTCATCTTCATCTTTCAGTGAAGTCAAGGCTAGTGAGGAAATCTCTAATCAGGTTATCAACAAATATCTTCTTTTGACAGGAAACTGTGGGTGTGCTAAGACCTTTTTAGTGCAAGTTCCAGGCAAGTTAGAGAAAAATGTGGTGACACAAGGAAAATTTACAGCTCACTAGTGGAACCAGCAATGCTCCAAGCTGACTAGCAGCAAGCTTATAAAGGGATATGCATCTATCCTGGGAGATGTCTTTCTCAGCTCTTGCAGAAGCTCACATGAAAAAAAATCTCAGCATAGCCATACTTTATATTTTATTAATTTTCCTAGCTATGTGATATTTAGGCTAGCGAAAAACTCACACCAGTGGAGCATAATTCAAATGCTTTGTTTCTCTGGGCTTGTTGTGGGGCAGAATAAAACAGCAGTAGCCAATAAATGTGTATAAATATGTTTTACATACTTTACTGTGCCTTCATGAACAGTAACCTAGAAAGTTTTGCATTTTCCTTTCATTTAGGGGGCAGTATGCGTGTTTGTTTCCACTCATCAATATACTCCAGTGCCGAACAACTGTTTTCAGTAAACAATTTCATTCCCTGCTTTACTGATAAGATAAAGCCAAATAGGGAGAATTTACTGTCATTATAATTTGGGATGCATTAACTTCCTGTTGAGGTCTAGGAGTCTGGACTTCAAAAGCTTTGAGCAGGAAAGGGAATCTTTTGCTGTGAGGGATCAAGCTGGATGTACTGCTGAGCTTGTAGCTGTTTCTCACTAGTAAGGGGTTCTTTTGAGCTTGCAGTAAAAAGACAGTTGTGGTAGTCTGAGAGGATACGCTCTTGCAGAGCCCTGTTAATCCCTGTTACAACTGCTGGTGAAGACATAAAGGAGGCATCACTTTTCCTTTTGAGGTGTATCACTGTACAGGAACTGCTGCTGTCTGTGCAACTGCTTCTTGCTTTGCACTCTCAGAAATAGGGGCTGGTCCCAGGAAGTCCATGATACCCATAGAAATGATTTTCATGAGTTACTTTGAGTCAGATCCTAATAATCTAAGACAGGAGGATACAACTGGCAGCCTGCTGACTGAATTTGGCTTACAGGACAACTCCAGCTGGGCCACTACCTTTCACCACATCAACAGGCAACTCCCCTTTGCTTTGCTTGCGGGGAGACAGGAGTTTTTGGCCCACACGTCCTTCTTGTTCCTCTGTTCCTTCCATCCTTCATAAAAAGGGTCCCACTGAAACAATGAGATAGCCCTTTTCCATGCCTCTGAAGTAAATAGAAATAATTCCTACTGAGTTGTGACCTCAGTTAATCTGTGTTCATGGAGCCCTGGGGAGCTCTACGTGCTTTGGAGCAATTGGCCTGATTCACGGTTTTGGCTTTATAACTTTTCATAGAAAAAAAGGGCATTGATGGTACACAAATAATTGAACACTCCTGCAACTATGCTCTGTACTTACTGAGCAAACACATCACAGGCAGCAGCTGGGAAATGGTGAACTGGAAAGCAAAACTAAACATTGTAACATCACCAGTAAAACTACATGGGAAACCTGAGACCATCACAAATGTTTATTACGAGGTTAATGAGGTACAGAAAATTCTGGCATGGTTCTTATGACAGATGAAAGCATCTTTAAAATAAAACTATTGTCAGCCTCAATATGCTTAAACTGTAAAGAAATTTCTAAGCTGTCATGAGCTAAATAGAAGCAGGCCAATGAGTTGGCAAACACAGCTGCACCTTTTGTTTAAAAACCTGGGTAGCTCTGAAGGAGAGGTGGAGTTGAGTTGACAGAGTTGTGGGAGACTGGATAAGTTCCTGCAGTGAGCAGTGCAGAAAACAGGGGCTCCTGCACCACATTTTGATGCAGTTTTAACCATCCTTAGGAGTAGACTTGTTGCTGCCCACTGTCTTCAGGCACAAGCAGTGATGTACTCCAGGGCATAGGATAAAGCTGTTCAGAGCTGGGCAGGTGGGCTGGGAGCACATGTCTGTGCCCAGCCCACCATTCCCATCCACCTCCATCCCCGAGACCTCAATGGGCACAAGGGAGGTCAGATCAGGGAGCTCTACTAAGGCCCCTCTGAAGAAGGGATACATAGATACACAACAAAAAATGTTTTCAGTAAGGATAATGAAAACCCCTTATTTTTCTTTCTTCATCTCTGTCAATCATAAGCTTTTTATTATGTGACTGTTCAACCCTCAGGACGTAAGCACCCACATCCCCACTGAGATGTCTCGACACATTTGTAGGAGAAGTAAAACCAATAAATCACTAGGAGTCTCTACATTGACTTCAGAGATCACTGGGTTGGTCTTTCTCTTGCTAATATTGATCTCTGCTCAGACATTCACAGCTACTGCCATTGAAATGAATTAGCTGCAACATCAACATAAAGTGACACACATTGCTCTGCATCTTCCTATGGAAGATCTGCTTGATGGCTTTACTTGGAACTCCATTAGGGAAGAGAATAGTAAAGAGATGGTAAGTCACAGTAATAGCCTTTTGCTGTTCTCTGATAGTGCGCCACTAGCTCATGTCAGATATGGAAGTAATTGCAGGAGATAAAGCCAGCAGAGAAGCTTCAAGTAGAATTTGCAATCCCTAAATGCAGAAACTGGCTTCAAATCTTTCTCTGTCCCAGCTTTTGTGCTAAATTTACATGTGTGTTAAGTAAGTGTTATGAAAATCAGAGAATGCTTACTCTGAATACTTGCACAGTCTCAGAGGAGCTTGTGAATTTATGGAAAGGACTGTGTAGGGAGAGATGCTGGAAGGATTTGGCTATTGTGCAGAAAGAGAGAGAGAGGAAAGGAATGAAATAAAACGTAGATCACGAAAATCAGATTGTTGTGACAAAAGCAAATGAGCTCTGAAAGAGTTTCTGAGTAGATTCTCCAAGAACTGTAACAAAGTTTGATATGTTTTGGGAACAAGATAATGAGATCAGGGAGTCAGTGCTAGCCTGGTCCCTGCAGAGGATGCTTCTGATATGCATATGAAGTCCTTTCTCACAATATAGCAGCTCACACTCTTGTCCTTTTGAATCTTCTAACCTAATCCATGTTATCCTGGGAACACCTGGGTAGGAAAACTCAGCTGCTTTCTGAGATCCCATGATTCAGCAAGTGGGTCACTACTAAATTCCTAATATGGTATTCATTTTTGTGCGAGTCCTTCACTGGGGTTTTTCTGGCTGAGTGGTGATGGGCTGAATCTGATGACTCCCAGCTCAGCTCCATGGTGGGAATCTGCGCTTGAAAGCGAAAACTGATTGGTGTCGTGACAATAAGCAGGAGAGCACCGAAGGAAGATGCCACAGGCACCTTTTCCATGACTCAAAGTATATTTGAAGTGTAAATCATCTGCATATGTAAAGGCTGTTCCCCCTGAAAGAGGGTCTAAAAGAGATAAAAATGGATTGTCATCATTATGGACTGGATTTCTGCCAGCTGCTTAGCAATTAGAGTTTTAATTGCCCAGTAATAAAAGTTTTAATTACTCAGCAATTAGTGTTTGAAGTTTGAAGTGATTCGCATGCACTCAATATCATTCTCGAATTGCCAAGAGCAGAAGATGGGATAGCTCCATTGTGTCTCAGCAAATCTGTGAGCAAACGGGGTGAACATCAGAGATTGAGTAGCAGCAGAAAATGGGTGTAGGCCAGTTGCCAGTGGTCAGCCAGACAAACATTCTTGCAGAGTAGAACCTGAAGGCAGCTTGTGGCCTTTCCCAAACTCACCACATTCTCAGCTGTGCCAGACAAGATGGTTGGGTGTTAAAGGCATCATGCTGGAGGAAGGCTACTGCAGAGACCAAATCCTTTTCAATATCTCTGTTTTTTTGCTTGGCACATTCATGGTCTGTAATATAGAATTAGATGTTTTCTATACTCTGGACTGTACAGGTCACTGATTCCACATGTGCTCTACCTCACTGGGATGCTGAATTTAGGAGCTATACGTATTTTTTCTGTCTCATTTCCATGAACCAATATCTGTAGTACACTTTGCAGTAGTGAATAAGTATCTCATCATAGCATACTCTGTTGTTTCTAGCTATAACACTGTGAAGTATCAAAGTCATAATAAATGGGATTCGCCTCATTGAATGTACCTATCTTGTCTAAGCTGGTAACAGGCTCAATGAATAGATAGGTATTCCCAAAGGGTGAGTAGCTCTTTCCAGACATATATGCCCAGGACAGATAAGGTGACCTACTCTGAAGGCGTAGTTTTTGTCAGGAGAGACTAACATTTAGGCAGCTGAAACCAGTAGAAACATAGGGTCTTAGAAGTGTGATGGTAGGAGAGTGGCCTGAAGAAAGAAGGCTTTGTTGAGGGTCATTATCAATTTCCCCTTGCAGAGCCAGGAGAAGAATATGTATTTCAGGCAATGCTGATATTGCAGTTATCATTATTATTGCTTACATCATGGCTGCATCTCAGAGTCCCAGGCTTGGACATTCCCTCTGTATTAGACTGTACAGATACAGGACAAACAGCTAAACTCCATCCTTAGTAGATTAGAGTCAAAGCAGACCACGTCACCCATTTTATTTACAGTGAGAAGTCAGTGTAGAATAAGTCTTTGCAACAAGAAGTTCTTTGGTTGAATCTACTGTTGAAAAGTACTTCCTCTTTTCAGTGTTTGCCACCCTATGGAACCTCTCTTTTCCCATTATTATTTTCCAGCTATGCTTTTCCCAGCTGCTCAGCGATTCAAGAGGTCCTCAGCTGCCTTCCTTAACCCAGTGCTACAAAACTCGCTGGAAGATGTGGTCCTGCTTTATGAGGTTCAGTATACTAGAGCAGATGGTACCTTAAACCTTAACCAAGACTGGGGTTATTGTACACACTGGGGTTATCCATTATCTGTCTTCATGACACTTTTACTCATTCCTGCAGTAAACCCATTGCTGACTATGTAACAGCTCACCAGAAGGGAAGGAATAGACATATATACGACAACCTCAGCTTTTTCAGCACTTATGCAGGCAGAAGTTGCCTACAGTACCTCAGACTAGTGGGTTCTAGTTCACTGACAGGCAAAATGAAAACCAAAGCAAACAGCTTTCTACTGAAAGCAAGTTTCTTCCAGAACAGTTATGTATTAACAACATAATGCATTAAAATTCTTTGTTTTAAATCTTAGTCCCAAGATCCCAAGGGCCTGAGTGTTTCACTTCAAAATAATTCAGGTCCCCTCTTCCACAGCAGTGGAGACTGCAGATATAATGCACAGTCTACAGTATCATATGGTCAGCTAAGGAACAGTGGCCCACCTGAAGAAGGTACATGGGTCAAATCTATCTATCCCACACCTTGAGAAACTGGGGCTAGTGTCCAAACAGGGGAAATGGGCAGGGAAGCCAGTGCTGTGCTCTCTCATAGAGCTAGGCCACTGCTGGTATCCCTGACAGGGTAAACAGCCTTTCCCAGCTCTGCTGCTGTCTCTCTAATACCCATGTAGCACCAGCAGCAACCCATGCCTGTTTTTGACAACAGAAGACTACCTAGATTTTCCTTTTCCTTCCTCCTTTCCCCATAGCCTGTCTCTAATTTTCCCAGGTAGGTAACACAGAAGTCTAATATTGGCATGAAGTCTTTCTGCACCACCTCCAACCAGTGCAATGAAAGTTTTGTCTCTATTTGACCTAAAGTAAAGACCTAAGTACATGTTTTTAATTCACATTTACTGTGCAGAGTTTCTTGGAGAAGATAAATAGCTTTCTGTGTTCTGATTTTGTACCAGTTTCTCTTAGCTGAACTTGACATTGACAAAAGTCAGAGGATCTCCATCAAAGATGAGGAGCTTGCTTCACTGAGGAAGGCTGCTGAGTTTGACACCATCTGCAATGAGATTATCCCCAAGAGCATCACAGAGATCCGCAGGCTGAGTAGCATGCTGTCTTCCTACCCAAGGGTCCTCAAGAAAGAAGATTTTGAAAGGACAGTGTTGACCATGGTCTACACAGCCTACAGGACTGCACAGTCCCAGGGGCACCAGAAAGACGCTTGGGCTGAATCCTTTGTCAGTCTTTACAAAGCCCTGAAGCACGACTTGATGTTTCCATACAACCAAGACACATCATAGTGGGAGACTTGATGCAATGGTAAATCAGCCACCTCTTGTGGTTGATAAGGGACAAATACAGCACGTCCATCACTTTATGCTGTAAAGGGTTTAATAGTCTGCTTCAAGAAAGATTATTTGTTTTCTAGCTCCCTCTTGTGGAATCCACTTTCTAGTTCCATGTTAAATGGAGAAAATTGTTATCTTCGGTCCTGGGAATTTGATTTTTGTGCTGGCTTGGGAGGCACATTCTGTGACAGGCAAAGAAATTTCAGTGTATGCCCCAGACAGACATGTGCTTGTTTCATCCTGTGGGTTTCCTATAAGCAGTACAAAAGTATACTATACTTATGCTTACATACCTATGTGTACGAGCTGGAGAACGCTGATTTCTTAGCTAGGGAAGCAAATTCATATTTTGGCTGGCCAGAAAAACAATATTATAAAGGCATGCAAAGGCCCTCTGAAAAAGGAAGAGGTTTCATAACTGTCAGTCTAAGAAATTATGCCATATATAATTCATTCCAAATATTCTTCTAATAAGCACTGTCTGATTCACTTCATTTGGCTGAGCCAGTTTTTAATTGCAATAACATTTGCAGAAGACAAAGGGCATTGTGGATACCAGCAGCAAACAATGCCTGTGAACATACCCTCTGCTTCCTAGAGCTGTCCTCCCAAACAGTCTGCAATGATTCTTTCATTATTTGCACATGACTTTGCTTCTGCTCCTTCTTTTTTGAAGGGAACATGTCCTCAGCAGAGTCAAAGGCCCTGTTTAATTTAATGATGACACATTTTTTCTGGTTCTATCACTTGAACGTAGGTCATCTAAACCCACGCTTCAGAACCCTCCTGAGGCAAGGGAGGAAGGTGCATTAAAACGTGGTGCTGAATTTAGCAGTGTGGCTCATTTTTGGAAGTAAATTATATATTTACTTGTGTGTATATGTCTGTGTATGCGTGTGTATGTTCATGCATAGGTGTGCATCTAAGTGCTGAGTACATGGAGAATCCTGAATTGTTCAATCCCAGAACAATTATATCCAGTCACTTAGCAGAAAAGGACATTCATCAGTCCAGTGATGGGAATTATGAGTCTAGGAGCAGTGGAGAAACAGCACTTGTTTCAGCAGCAAAAACTGTTTGTAAAAATACTGCAACTATTATGAACTATAAAAAATCATGGACAGAAAATGGACAGAAAAAGAAAATAAATCTTGTCAGACAGATGTCTACTGTCGAAAAATGCAAACTCTTCTAAAGCAAATCCCCTACATTTTAAGAGCAAATTACACAGACTGTTTCTCCATTGATATTAAAGGTTCTTCTACTTCCAGAGCATGGGAAAACAGCTGAATATTTATTTCATTCTTTCATACCAGCATTCCCTATGTCTATATCTGCATAATATTTTAAGCATAAAATCACAAATCACTGAGGCTGTAAAAACGAACTCAGGACTCCAGCCCCTGTTCTGAATCACATTTAACTGCTTTTGCATCACCAGAGTGAAAGGAATGAACCCTTCTGTGTCCCTTAACAGGGATACTCCAAGGACCGAAGCTAAAAAACTCCAGCCAACACTGCCTTGTTGCAGCAAACAGCAGCCAGAGCACACTGGGTTTGGCAATTACCCATGGGAATGTGGATCCACAGCAGCCTTAGGGACAGGAAGCTGGACAAAGGACTTAGACAGTCAGTCCTGTTTCCTCCATCAGTTTCTGTATGTGTATGCATGACTGTACAGATTTGCATTTAGATGCACCTATGTGTAGGTGCACTTTCATACCTGAAGATGTTTGTTGGCCATCTTCAAAGCCTGGCTGGTATATGGCAAAGAAAACTGAAAACCTCAACCACAACGCTATGAGCCACAAGCATCTTTGTCTCCTCTGCTTGCGCACACAGCTCAGGGCTCACAAAGCAGCCTTGCGCTACAGCCCACATGCTTTTTAAGCCTTGAGAATTAACACTGATCATGTGTTTGTGTTTTCTTCCCATACCATGCTTTATAAACACATGGAGGGGAAATGCTTTAAAGTGCACTCCTGCCTTTCCAGCTCTGTTTCTTGGCTCCCTGAAGCACCGCTTGCTGGAAGTGCCTGGAACCAGAGAGATTCATAAATCTCTTACAGCCAGTGGCTCCAAGTCTGCAAAGATAACAAGAGTGAGCACCACAGCAAGCATGCTAGCAGTTACTATCCAGAGAAATACGTCCCAGCCATGCTTCTCACTGCATAGCAAGACTGTCAAGTGGTCAGAATTTACTCATCAGCAAGTATCCCATAGAGAAGAATTATAGATAATTTTGAATATCCAAACATTCCCTATAGCATACATACCTTTCAGTTTGGTAATTGAACTTTTTATCTCCTCAACAGAATATAAAGTTTTTTCTGAGTTTGTGTCCCTCTTGGCATTACTGTGTGTAATGTAAAAAAGATTTATTCCTTGGGTATGTGCTAGGAGTGCCCAAGTTAATTTAACAGAGACTATCAATGTAATAATAAAAATATTGTACATAAAACTAATTGGGTTTGCATTGTATTGATTCCAGTGGCAGGTTTACTATTTAGTAACTTCCAGCTTGTGCAATTGGCTATCTCAGACTGAAACTCTTCATGGGAGTAACTGTATGAGAGAAGGAGCACTCTTCCCTTTGATGGTCAGGAGGAGGTAATAAATAGGAATTAGTACTCTTTGTTTTCCAGAATTCAAGTGGGAAGGAGAAGTCTGTCTCAGGGCAGCTTTTTGGGCTTAGGTCAGCTTCCCTCCCTCAAAATTGCTCAGGATTGCAAGCATAGATTGCCTGCTCCCCAGCTCAGATTGCATCTCATTGCTTCAGACTGAGTCATGTATGTAGATAGTCTTCTCTCAGAGGGTAAATAGCCATTGCCTCTAGATGGAACCTTTATCCACCCTTTGACCTTACAAATCATACAAAAGTGAAACAAAGCACAGATTTTTAAAAATTTTTTTTTTTTTTTGTATTTTAGTCAATTTTTTAGTTTCTTTAAAACAACTCACAAACAGATATGAATTTCCTACCTGGTATTGGCCAACTTCAAATTTTCACATTAAGTATATATTTATTTCCAGAACTAATTGCTAATTTTGCCTCAAATGTCTCAAGGTTCTGTTGCTTGACAGAAGTTTCAAAGTTTAGAAACATTACACAGTCTTAGACATAATTACTAATTCCAGCAAGAATGCACCCTGCACATCAAACTCCTCTGCAGGTCTGTCTGCCAGTTCTCCAAGACTCTTGTCACAGAGTCATTTCAGTTCAATCTAGGGAGCTCAGTTTGTGTCTGAGTAGCAAAGTGTGAGTAGTAGACAGGAAAGCAAGGTTTGAGAGTGTGGAAAATCTCAGCTGTTTGGCTTTCTATGAGATACAGGACAAATTGATACCTCTCTACAGGTCCTGCATTCAACCAGCCAATGTATTCAGTCCTAAATCTCCAGTACTTGCTCCACAAAAAGCATTAATAATGGCAGAGTTGTAGAAATGTTTCTCCACTAGAAGACTAGAGTAAAAGCCTAAAAATCCTCAATTTGAGCCTGAATCCTATGGTTACTGAGGGCACATGAATCAGTACAGAGTTTAGCCCATGCCTTATGAATAAGTGACGTTCATGGATCAGGACGAAAGAAACATGAAAGACAAAAGATACTGTTTAGAAAACAATGATTATTTATTTCTCATCAGTACTGGGATCTTGAAATAATAACAAACTGTTCAACAACTTAAAAAAGGTCTTTTTGTATGTTTGTGTGCATGTCAGAAAAAGGAGGCTGCTGATTTTCTCAAAAGCTCTTACTGGTGTTTGGATAATGGGTGGAGCAACTACTACCTTCTACAGTCCTCATTGGTGAGTTAGAGTTGAATGAAGCTTTTTAACAAGTTTTTGTCTTGCGACCAAGTATAATCTGTGTTGGAATTGCTACGCTGTGAATTCTAAGCTCAAGGCAAAAGTAGGGTAAAGGTAGATACAAAGTAGAAGCCAAAACTGTAGCAAAGAGACAAAACCTGGAGAAGCTGCAGATGGTTTCATTTATATTTTTTATTTTTAAGAAAGGATATTTTATATTTGCTTCTGTGCAATAAATTGGTTTTGATAATTTTCTAGCAGAAGAGAAACTTGTATTTCAGGCATTCAGATTACCAAACAGGAGGAAAAGCAGCCCAAAACATATCTTTCCTGGTTTATGAAAACAGGAATTACACTGTTAGATGATGGAAGAAAAAAACTTTCCAGAACATGGGGATAAGGATTCAACACAGCTATACCTGTCATTTTGAATTAAAAAGAAAAATTATCAGAAGATCACTATGTTCCAACTTGCAAGCCTCTGCATGTTATGGTGTGAAAATAATTTGGATCTGCTGGTGAGCCCTACATAAACTCAATGTCTTTTTAATTGAAAACTCTTTTTAAAACAACAGATTGAAGAATAAATAAATCAAGAAAGATATTTTAGGTGATTGGGTGGGGATACAAAATGAGGCAGTGAGACACCGTTCAGGGTAATCCAGGCACAGGTGAAAGAAAACGTGGAGTGGAAGCTGGAGTATCTGAGGAATCAGAGAAGAAACCCAAGGACAAGAAAGCCACCAGAAAGTAAAAGAAAATGGCAATGATGAAGGAGATTCTCCGATCCAGAAATCTCTTGCTCGTTGTTCTCATTCCACTTCTGCTGCTTCCTCTGCCACTCTTACATCCCAGTAGCGTGAGTACATTTTCATTTTCTTTTTTAACTAAACCTGTGAGTGCAGTAGGTAGTCATGCTGGATCAGTCTGCAGTGTGAAAAGGAAAAACAAAGATCTAAACTAGCATCACTCTTAGAAAAATCAAGGACTTAAATTGAAAGGATTGGAAAGGTCACTGACAAGTCATCATAGTAAAAAAACAGAGCTGCCTTTAGTCATGTTTCAAACAGAGCTGAAAAACCAGGTGAAGCTAGTAGAGCACTACTGTAAAAGAGAAATGTTCTATCTTTTCTTTTTCTACAATAATGTGTGTGTGGAAGGGGAACAGAAAAAACATATCCATAAAATTTCCTTTAAGGAGAGGTCTTTAAAAGGAACACTTCCCGTGCATTTAGTTTTTAGTAATAAGTATGCATGGAGGGACTTTCAATTTAGTGTGGGTTTATAGGGCAGCAACTCAAGTGAGCCAGGAGCTAGGACTCAGGGACAGACATGTAGGACCATACATGGCAGTTAACTGTTCTAAAGCATGTGTAGGTACCTCTACTGAAACATTGTAGATCTGGCAGTAGCTAATAAATGATGTCTCAACAATGCAAAGGAGGGAACAGTTTGTGCTCTAACACACAGACAAGGGAATAGGAGTAAATGCAGCTACATTCCTGATACGATTTTGAAGCTACTGAGTGCTCTTGGCCATGTGGTCAACTCCTCTCTGTGCACGTCTGTGAAGTCATAAACCATAAAATAAGAGTGTTTTCCTGCCTTATAGAGATGGTGACGTTTAACTTATCAAAATGTGCAGTGTATTAAAAATTTTGCATCTGGTGCTTCCACATAATCCTAGACATAAATCTGGCCAAATGGTACAGCAATTCCAATTATGTCCTCTACTCTGCTAAAGATTAATTCTTCCTTCCAGTACCAGAGGATTTGTGAATACTTCTGCTTTATCAAATAGAAAGGCAAAAGGCTAGAAATTGTATAGCAGCTTTCAAAAATAAAACTGTAGTATTTTGTATTGAAAGGAAAACAGGATTCATGGAAAGGAAGTGTTTCTATACTGCTGAACTGTATGTTGCACTTTGAATGGGTTTTCCTGCCCTGAGCTTCGATGTATATCTCAGCTGTCCTCTTACAGTAGTTTTCCATCTCTTACCTCTCAAGATAGAATGAATGACAGATAATCGTGCTCTTCTTCAGAGAACAGCAGGGCTCAACATTTTATAGAGGCTTGTTTTTAAAAAGAGTTTAATCTCCCCCAATGTCACTGTAAGGGCAACAAGAACAGATACTCCTGAGGTGTTTATATGACACTATAACTGCAGTATGTTTTTTGTCCCTTGAAAACCTCTCCTAGGAAACATGAGATTCACTGCATTAATATTTGTCACTTTTGTTTGCTCCCTGATGGACACAGGGACACACTATGCAACAAGGAAACTTTTTAATAATCAAAGGAATTGTAGTATCAACATATGAGTGCTGAGAGAGAAGTTAACTAACACTACTGCTGCAAGAATTGCTACTATACATTACAAGCTCCTCTGTGCTATTACTCCACACCTCATGGTGTTGCTTTACTGAGAAGTGATATGAAAAGACATCAGATGATGTTTTACATACATTTTATATATACCTGAATGATCACAGATGGTAAATTATAGCTGGAAATCTGACCCAGGGTTAAACAAATGTTTATAATTCCATTAAGAAAAAATCTACACCAAATGAATTCAGTTGACAATACACTATTTAAGTGGTTTAGTGTAGTATTTACTTTATTACAACCCATTGACTATGATTACTTCTTAAACCTGAGAATTAAATTTGCCTTCTGCTCACTTACTTATGTTTTAATTCATCATACAATTCTATTAGTTTTCTTTCTTCTAGAAGTCAGAATTACCAGGTGGTTTATATTTCCATTTCTGCAGGGAATCAGCTTGCAGTTTCTTTGATCAACACAACTCTGGAAACATCAAAGGAACATTACATGTGTAGTGGCAAGAGAAATCATAACAAGCACTAGAATTCAGAACTGTTTGCAGATACAGCTAATGGGAATACCGTCAACAGCTTATTTTCTGTTGTCTTATGAAAAAGAATGGTTGGGTCAAAAAGAAACCTGAGAAAATTTGCTTGAATTCTTTCTCCCTTTCCAAAGGGAACAGATGACTTATGTTCATTCACCTTTGTTTTTACTTACACAAGCTGAAGGAAGAGATTAATAGTGTGATCCCATAAACTCAGAGAAGGTAGTCCAGAGGCTAGACTACCTCTTCTTCACACAGCTTAACCACATGCCTGCATGCTAGGTATGCAATGCACATCATTAAGTGGTCAAATCTCCAAGACTTGACAAACAGTTTATTCTATTTTAATCACTCTGAGATCTTCAGATGTTTTAGTTCTAACAGTTTTATGCATGACCTTTATTGTGATTTTTTTTTAGCCATGCTTTCCTTTCAGCTCCTTTCCTTTCATGTAAGGGGTTAATTGAAGATAAGTGGTAGTCCCTCCAACCATCATGTTTTCCTATTCTTTGCTTCAAGCCCTGAGATGAACTTAAAAGTAATTTTCAACTGTACAACAAGAAGTGAAGACAGTGAAACAGTTAAAATTATACAGCCACTACTCCATTCCAGTACTTAGTAGTTCTGGTAACCATTAATTAAATATATAAATCCAGTTCAATTAAATAGAAGGGATTAATATGGTTTTCCTGGAAACGAGTTGTTTTAAAGCACTGAGAAAACAGAGAAAGTTGTTAGACAAGCTGATTAAATTTTTAGTGGAGATTAAAAAACTTGGCTTTCCTAGTACTTCCCACTCAGTTTTATACCATTTTAAAATATGTGTTATTTTAGTTTTGTTTGCAAATTGATTACAGCCTAGCGTACAGGAAACAAAAAGACTCAATGCCCATCTGAGCTAGGTTTTGATAGAGATCCAACCTCCCTTTCTCCTATTCTATTCCCATTACAAGTCTAATTTATGGCTACACACAGTGAGGCAATAGAAGATAACAAGCTATGCTCAAAGAAATTAGAGAAGTCTATTTTTGGAGTAAAAAAAAAGTTTGGAATGCAGTTAGGATGAAATTAATTTTATATATTTTTGCAAGGTATCTCTTGGATCTTACATCTGGACTGCTTTAAAATAAAAATCAATAGTTTTTTCATTATGAGGCATTTTTTTCCTCCGGATGTATGACATCCAAACAACTGCTGGATGTCATACAGAGCCCATGCAAGCGTAGTAACTTGTTAGCAGAAATTAATGGGCTAAAAAATAGTCAAAATGTGTCAAATAGTTACTAAGTCACAAAAATGACCCTATGCTCTTCTCTTTGTGGAACATTAACCATGAAGTACGTTAAAGTTTTAATTAAAGGTGACTGAGCAGCAAGTGGGCTAATGTTTGCAAGCCAACCCATCAGTTCAGTCTTCCTAGTAGAAATTACTACAATCCTCTGACGCCTGTCATGTCACCTTTTAAATTATTTAAATTTTTAAGTAATTTTTGTTTGTTTGTTTTGTAAAGAGTGAACACTCAAAGTTCTTACAAACTCAACATAAATCTTTGGAGTTTCAAACGGCATAACAATTCCATTTTGTAAAATGCATGCTTCAAAATCCATGGACATTAAAAAAAAAAACATCCTCTAATCTCATCCATTCTAAATCAACATTCTCTAAGCTCTTTTATATCTTTTTCTTAGTAGTAATGAAGCTACAACTGCTATTCAATTTTTAATTTCAATATTTTCCTGAAGGACCTGATTATAGAGGGCTAGTGAAACCTCTACTGGAGAGTTAAAACCTAAACTACTCTTCTATAATAGTTAAGTAAGAGAAACAGGTATGCAAATTTCCGTGTGGTTCAGAGTCCTTATCCGTTCATAAAGGAACAATCCAGGGCTAAGTTTCTTCAACAGCTTTTCAGATACTCTTTCTAGTCTCTAAATTAGTTGGAGGTTATCTGATTCAAGGAAATTATGTTTCCTGATAACCTTATTTCAGCTCTTTTGATGGTCCTGCCTGCTTGTATTAGAGCTGTTTAATGTTACACTTTTCTGAAATAAGAGTCAGAAAAGGAGGTCTGTCAACTTCTGGACGAGTTTGCCTGCAATCTTTAAGCAAGTAAAGGAAATGGCACATAACAATCAATCTTAACTTTTTGTCTGTACTGTGTTCTGCCTCTTGTTACTATAAGCAGCACTAAAAAAAGAGGAGTAACTGATTGTGACTCATGGTTAGGGGTAATGTAAAAAGGGACGTGCAATTACAAGATATTGATTCATTCCATTGAACCCACATCCGTGTATAGTCTTGCTTCAAACTTCACTACCTTGTTCGTAAGACTGATGGGGGAAAAAAAAAGTGTGACACCCACTCACTGATTTGCACAAGATTCTGTGGGAATTGTCTGTGTGACTTCTTGAAAGCTGCTTAATTTGGGAGTCATCCAGTCAGGAAACAAAAGTAATGAAATTGTGTTTTAACCCATTCAAATAGCGTTTGTGAACAGTGGATTTTCTAAAAAATAGCCATTGTGAACTGTGGAACCATACAGCTCAATAAATTCATCATCAGTGAGTAATGAAGAATGTTTAGATTTATAGCTGGTGTAAACTGGTGCTGACCTAATTCCATAGAACTGCCAGTTAGCCTTAGTAATTTTTGTAATTATTAGCAGGAAATGTCCCCAGGTTTCTAAATATAACAAATTGAGCCTAAGAACTCCACTGCATGCCATAAAAGCATACTTATTAACAAAAAAATGGACTAGAGGACTTCTGTAGAGTAGCTGTGTTTTCCTGTTAAAATCTTCAGCAGATAGAACCTTTCTCCATCATATACCAGCTCTCCATGAGCACTCAGCATGATGTTGTCATGGCTTTCTCTACCAGAACCTTTGACAGCAGCAAATTTGTTTTATGAACTCTGTTAATCCACTGCCTTTAAACCCTTCAGGTCTGTGGTCTTCTTCCACGGGTCTGTGGAAATTACTTGAGAAAATATAATCAACTGACGAAAAACTTAGGTTTGCACACTGTTAAAAAAAAAAAAGAACAAAACAAACCAACAAATTTTCAGAGTATTTCCCCCAAAAAAAAACAAACTGTAGCTTTATCCATGCTATAGCAAATACAGATGTTCTCATCTGATTCTGAAAACTACAAGTTCCTGTTCTTGTCCAATATTGGAGAGAAATACCAGCTCCACAGGACCAAACTGAGGAGTTGAACACTTGGTAAGTATTGGACTATTTCAATCAAACAAATCTGTAAATGCACATGGAACCATTATTCTGCTGATAAATATGTTTATCCCAAAGTTTTGCCTTAGCTATTGCATGAAACCTTTCATTAGCATCTTCTGGAACTGGCCTTTCAGATGGTAGCCTCGATTTCACATCCAAACAGCTGCACCTTAGAAGGTCCTTATGCAGTCCTTGTTCAGTTTATGTCCAGGCACCTGCAGTCTAATAAGTCTTATGAACACATCCACAAGGTTCCCACAGCAGGTTGTGAGGCAGTCATGTAACCTCTGTGTTTTCTCCCTGCAGGAAGCTTCATGTGCCTATGTGCTGATTGTGACAGCTGTATACTGGGTTTCTGAAGCAGTACCTCTTGGTGCAGCTGCCTTAGTTCCTGCTTTCCTATACCCACTTTTTGGAGTCATGAAGTCCAGTGAGGTCAGTCCAGTGTGCACTTTTTTAACTTTTAATATTCTTACACTTAATTATTCAAATAAAACTAATCTTAATAGACTAACAAGACTAAGAGCTGTAGGAGGAAAAAAGGTGCATCTTGTAATGTGTAACTTGGGCTGACCAGCTCCTTCTTCTACTGAAGATAGATATAGGAAAGGCTATATTAGTCAAGAGGTATGTCCATCCTGTCAGCTACTGCACCAGAAACAATTCCTAAAACCTACTGCATCAAAGGATCACACCTTTCCACTTCTCCAAAACCATATAAAGAGCAGTTATTGATTATGTATAAGGCAAGAGATCACGTGTGCTAAACACAGTTACCATTTACGGTTAACACTAGGTAATTTTGTTATCCAGGTGAATGTCTAGTCGTTTTTCCAAACTGTAACCCTGGTGCTGTCTTGTAGCCATAAGTTCTAAGGCAGAGCAGCCATACAAAAAAGTCTTCATGATCAGTTCTGAATTTGCTTACTTATTTTTTGAATGTTACTTTCTTTCACGGTATGCCAAAAATTTATTTTATTTCACCTACAGCTTTCCCCCTCTTCATTTTTCTCTCTCCCTTTTGAGGGTGAGGAGGCATCACTCTTGGTTTACAAGGACTAGAAATATGGATAAGAACACAGAAAAATATATAGCAACCATAAAATTGTTGAATTTCTAACACAGTCTAGCTCTGGGAATACCCATAAATGGGTCAAGCATGAACCAAGAGTTTTATGACCTGTCTTATTCCTCCCAGTGGAGTGACAATTGTGTAATATAGTCAAATACATTTCCATACCAACACAGTTAAATATTTTCAGGATTTTTACTTTTTTTTAACATAAAGGTAAAGTAGTTATATGTTTTCATCACAAGAATCTACAGCGTATAGGAGAAGGAAAATTTAAAGGCATCCTGACAGAAATTCAATGTAATATCAAATTATATGACAGCAAGACTACTGCAGAGAATGTATTATTTGCTTTAAGAACATTTAAAAACCTCCGTATTTTAATATCATCAACTCTAACGATGCTGCAGTATTTCCTGTATGCTGTTTTGTAATGCCAAAGAAACCCAAGGCTCTTGCATAGCAGTTTAAGGTACAAATAACTCACAGGGGCTTAAGAATATGACTTAGTGTGTTGTATATATGTATGTGTGTGTTAATAAGAATATTAATGTTTGCTTGTTTCTCAAAAATGGTTGTGAAAGAAAGAAAGGAAAGCAACAGATTCTTTATGCTGCTGGCTTGAAGGATTTCTTTCATTCATAGAATCATAGAATAGTTAGGGTTGGAAAGGACCTTAAGATCAGTTCAAGATCTTTTTTTTAACAAGATAGCAGGAAAATAAAGAAAGTTACTGGGAAAGGAACCAGTGAAAGGAAGCCAAAAAAAAAGATATTTAAAAGTTCAGGCACACAGCTACTGTGGCCAAGTCTATTTAGGTCACTATGGGGATTTGTTAAATAATTAAATACTTAATATGCTCCAACTTTCACAAAATAACATTAATGTCATTCTTGCACTTTTACGGAGGAGCAACAGTATAACTGAGGACAATGGAAAAAATAGTGCTTCTACTGATTTTAATTGTTTTAAAATCCTGGCACCTACATTTTGTTAGAGGTATAGTTTTAAAGGGAAGAAAGGATGTTTTTGTAAAAATTTCGCAGTAAAAACTTGGATAGGATTATGTCAGAAAAAAAGAAAAATTTAGCTAGACTCCAAGCATCTGTTTGTAACTTTTGTTTTCTCCCATTTTGTTTGCTTTCACACAAGAGAGTGTGTCTGTGTGAATGTTTCAGCTTGTTTCATTTGTTATTTTTTCAGTCACTTCACAGAATATCCTCTTAGCAAGCCCCAGATTCAAGAATGCTGTTTTAGAGGACCATGCACAATTTCTGCTATTTTTCCTGATCCAGTTGATGTTTTTGCTCAACCTCTTTAAATTAAAGCTCTCTTTTTTGAAAATATTCCCTATTTTCTTGATAGAATGGAGATGGATTTCCATGTGAAAAGCTCTGGCACAGGGTTTGGGGATCATCACAATAATATCCCTTTATTGCATTCAGAGAGCATGTCCCAAAGGACATTTTTCCTGAACTGTAGGTACTAGGGATGCCACGTCTTGCCAAACATTTCAATATGACATAAAAAGTATAAACAAGATAGACAATGACAGCTCCAACATTAAAAAGCAGCTGAAGCACATGAATAAACTGCTTTCAAAGCAGAGGTTTCTCTGTGGTTTTTTCAGTCTGGGCGTCGCTGAGTATGACTGATTGTCTGCAGGCAGTGAACATCCTGCTCAAAGTAAAATTTCCCTTGGTTTCTTCAAAGCTGAGAAACCTATCAACAAGTGGGTATTGAGCCCTGTTTCTTGTAAGCACGGCATAAAATATTAAAGAGAACATTTTAGCTTATGACTTCTTCATTTTTTCCAGCTCCCTGTCATTTTTTCTCTAGAGGGAAATACCACGATACCATATTTCTTCTCATTCAGCATGCTCTCTGTGTAGGGTAATTATTGCTTTTTAACTGACTGTTTCCCCTTTACCCTTAATGCAGGTGGCTGCTGAATATTTCAAAAACACAACTTTGCTCCTCATGGGCGTGATTTGTGTGGCAGCTTCTGTAGAAAAGTGGAATCTTCACAAGAGAATTGCCCTGCGCATGGTCATGATGGCTGGAGCAAAGCCAGGCATGTGAGTGAATCTTTGACTTCAGGATAGCATGAGCGTGACAGCAGCAGCTGGAAAGATCAAATAACAACTCTGAATTTCCCATCCATGGGCAAAAGCTAGCTTGGTCTGGGGCTATTTTTCATACCCATCTTGCCTTTCCAAGTTGGAAAGCTTCCAACTTTTTTCATCCTCTTTCTGCCAGCTCCTACTCCTTGGCTCGTTGTCCCTTTGATTTATATTTTTTACTGATATTGGTTTTAGTCTCTCTGTTCCTTCTCTGCCTGTTGTTAAACAAGCATAAAAGGATGCTTAAATCCTGGATATGTTGAAAACCGCTGTTTCTCACATCCCATCATGATTTTGCATGTGGCAAAAGTCTTCCAATGGTACATTGTCTTACAACAGTTATCAGCACAAGGTAGCATTTTATCTGCACACACCATAATATTTTGGCACCTGCAAAAAGACCCCATCTAGTTACCCGTTAACTAATGAAACTGATAGGCAAGGAGACCTTCAATATTTCTGAAAGTGCCTCAAAAAGATTTCCCTGTGTTGCACTCTAGGTTGCTTCTTTGCTTCATGTGTTGCACCACAGTGCTCTCCATGTGGCTTTCCAACACATCCACCACAGCCATGGTGATGCCAATCGTGGAGGCAGTTCTCCAGGAGCTAGTGAATGCTGAGGAGGAGCACGAGGTCATCAGTACTGCAGGCAGCACCATTACTGAAGAAACCAAGCCAATAGGTATTTGTCAATATTGGCCATTCTTTTCTCGTTTGTTTATCAGTGACCAGGCTTGTTGATAGGCATTATCCAAATTCTATCAAGGTCAGAGCTGTCTGACTTGCACTGCCAAAGATGCTGATCCACACTCTTTCTTTTGTACTCTGACACTTCTTTAAAAATTAAAGAAAGTTTCAAGATGTGGTGGAAGAATTGGATCCAGGAAACTGTTTATAATGAATTAGGGCATGTACTGGAGTTTGTGTGTCATAATCTCTTAGGATTTTACAGGGTTGGAAGGGACTCTCTGAGAAGAACGTCAAAGAAATGTAGAACAGACCTGAAAACATTCCCTGTGACAACCTAACACTTGCCAATTTACCCCTCTCCTTGAAGGCTGCCTAGGTCAGAACAGGTGTCACAGAAAAACCTGGTAAGAGCTCCAAGGTTCATTTTGTTAATGCCTTCTGTCGTGGTTTAACCCCAACCAGACAGTTTGTTCACCCACTCCCCCCCCCCTTCTTGCTCTCCCCCTATTCCTGGAGGGACAGAGGGCAAGAAGGGGGGGGGGGGGTGGGGGGGTGGGGGTGTGAACAAACTGTCTGGTTGGGGTTAAACCACGACAGTTCTTTTTGGCGCCCAACGTGGGGCATGAGGGGTTGAGATAACGACAGATCTGACCGGATTAATAGTCACTCGTCACAATGCTGATTTATTGGCTCCCAGAGTTGTTCCTCTTGATCTCACAGCTTCCGAATGTTGTAACTTACTTAGAGCCGGTATTTGCTGTGTTAGTGTTTATCAAGTGTGGGGCTTGGGCTAAGGTTCCTGTCTCACTGTACTTTATGCCAATAACTTGTAATACGGGTGGGCTCCAGCAGCAGGGCGGGACGGACGTGGGCATGGACTGGTCCCTGGCCGTCCGGCTGCTCCTCACCGTCCTGGCCCTCGCCCTCGCCTGCGTCTGCGTGAGGCTCCGGGAAGCCGAGGGGGGGTGACCCCGGGAGCCGACGGCTGCTGAAGCGGCCCGGGAGAGCGGCCCCGGGGACCAAGCGGGAGCGGGACCGGAGGCCGGCGGGGAGCGGCTGCCGGTGGAGGAGGTCGGGGCGGTCGAGGAGCGGGAGGGGGCGACTGCCGAGCAGCGGGAGAAGGCGGCGGAGGAGCCGAGCCCCTCGGCCGAGCCCAGCCCCGCGGCCGAGCCCAGCCCCGCGACGGCCGAGAGCATTCCCCGGAAGCCGCCCGCCGAGCGCCAGGAGGACGCAGGAGACCCCGCAGCATTTCCCAGCAAGGCAGAGGAGGAAGAGCTGGACTCAGGAAAAGAGAAGCTGGTGGTGGGAGAGCCGGCAAGCACAGCAGCTACACCAGCCCCAGTGACAAGTACAGCAGCATCGTTTGAGAGTTCTGAAGGTCTTGGATGGCCTTTGGGTACCCTTGGGACCTGCCTGCTGACTGTGATGGTGTTCACCATGTTGACACACACACAGACTGTGTTTTACCCACCACCATTTTGTCTGATCCCGAAATTTAAGCAGAGTCAGGTTTGGGTCTTGTCTGGGGTTAGACGACGATATGGGAGGAGCAAGAGGTTTTCCCCAAGGCTGGACAGCCATGAGTGGCAGGGCATGTGGGACAGTATGGGCAAGTATCTAGTCCACTGGGCCCCTCCAGTGCTTTGGAAACATTGGAGATGGAAGACAGCTGTATGGAGTCCCCAGCAACAAGCTGCAAAACCTGCTGAAGGGGACAGTGAATTATTTTGAGCCCGGTGGGCCCATGGCATTTTCAGGCCATCAGAGCAGAGATGCAACATCTAGATGGGCCTGTGATCAAGGGGTGGACTTAACAATGGACACTATTGCCCAGGTTATTCATGTGTGTGAACAGTGCACACAGCCTCTCCTCCTCTGAAAGACTTTTACAAGAGATGGAGCCTGGCATCATGGACCAGATGGACTCAACAGCTTTATAGGGACTGGCCCATGCACTACGATGATAGTGCACTTAGATAAGAGTGATGGTATATTGAAAATGTGGGATCTGAGCATGACGTGAATGGTATGGAATAACGGGTGGATAATGTCCTGGGTTTAGCAGCAGCAGTCATTTTTTCTCCTTCTTGGTAGCTGGTGCAGTGCTGTGTTTTGACTTTCGGGCTGGGAACAGAGATGATAAAAATGATGTTTTGGTTTGGCCAAGGATTTTGTGAGCCTCATGCTCTGCCAGGGAGTAGGGAAGCTGGGAGGAAGCAGAGACAGGACACCTGACCCAAACTGACCAAAGAGGTGTTCCATACCACAGCACATCACGCCCCGGATGTAACTGGGGGGTTACCCAGAAGGGCTAAGTGGACTGCGGGGTTGGAGGAGGTATCGGTCAGTGCTTGGTCAGGCTGGGGGAGCAAGTTATCGGTCTCCTGGTGATGAGGTGGTGTATTCTCTTCCCTTGTTATTTCCTTTATCATTACTGTTATTGGTGATAGCAGTAGTGATTTGTGTTACACCTTAGTTACTAAACTGTTCTTATCTCAACCCGTGGGAGTTGCATTCTTTCTGATTCTCCTCTCCGTCCCTCCAGGAGTAGGGGGAGGGCAAGAAGGGGGGGTGGGGGTGGGGGGTGAACAAGTTGTCTGGCTGGGGTTAAACCACACCACCTTCCCAGAAAGAAAGGATTTGGGAAAAAAGGAACATCTCTTTTCTTTCAATTCATAGATTACAGGCTGGAAATGCTTTCATCTACCTTCGCCTATGTAGATATTATACTATTTTAATTGCCAGAAGCACATGACCAGGACGGTATGACACAATAAAATGCTGCATAATGGCCGTAGAGTACCTGAGGTGGCTTGGACAAGCTTTTGTTTGCTGTAGCTTCTCAGGTTCAGTGGTATGGCCCAGGGGCTCAGCTCAGTTCTAACCCTAAAGGCTGCTTTATCTTTGTTCATTGCAGATCTCAGCGAAAAGCATGGCCAACCTTCACTGGAGCTTGTCTTCATCAATGAAGAGTAAGAATGAACCCTGTACATCACGACTGGAGATTTGAGCCCTATGCATGTTGAAAAGAGGTGAACCCAGGAGTAGAGCCAGGAAGGGCGAGCAGAAGCTTACAAGTGAATGTTTCACTTATGACTGACAAGGAAGGCCTGTATGAGAAATGGGATTAATGTAATGCTTTGGATTTAACTAAAACTTCCCAGTATTCATTTGGGTTTTTTAACTCTATGGCCATTTTAGAGAGAAGGAAAATATTTTTCAGGGTTTAAACAATCTTTTTTTGAAGCCTGTGTTTTGTGCTGTATAAAAGAATGCCATCCACAGATTCTTATTTCTGCTCCCCTGAAGGAACAGTGATGGGGGGGACCCAAGCACAGTATGGCGTACCCACAGGACATATCTAGTGGGAAAACACTTACAGAGAATTCCTGAGGAAAGTCTCAACTGTCTATATTCAAGAGAAAGATGAGAGCAGGGGAACAGGGGGAGGAGAAACTAAAAATCTTATCACTTTTCTCCACCAAAAAACCTGCAAAATATTTCTTTCAGTATAAACAAAGTTCTTTGGAAGTTTGAGACACTAACAGTTTCAACCAGGTCTCTATTTTGGGTAAGATCTAGTAAGTTTAAAAGGGCAAATTAAGAAAAAGACTAATTTTTGTCAGATCATCAAGTTAAACAGCAGTTCAATATACTTGAGAGAATATTCAAAGTTATAATCTTAAAATTATGTTATAGGCTAAATCCTGAAGAGCATTTTCTTACAACGGGTGAGAATAAATTGCACAGTCCCTTCTTGAGCTCCTTCTATATTGTTAACAAGCATTTAAAATGAAAGAGAAACAAGTTCTTGCTACACCTTTAAATACTTACTTTAAAACGAACACTATCATTCAAACCCCACATGTTGACGACTTTCAGTTAACTTGCAAGTTCTGAATAGTTTTGTCATTAGTCTGGAGACTAATGGGTTCTCCAATATTCCCTCTGCTGTTTTCATCCCAGGCATACTTTTCATGAGGTATAGAATCAAGTTTTCTGTTTGGCATTGTGCCATTAATCTCTTTAAGCCCTACTGAAGAGTATGCGTGGGATGTTTCATGACAGAACTACTATTAAAAAGTATTACTTGAAAAAGAGCTTGAAATTTGGTGGGAGAAGAAAAGTAGTACATCTGGTATTAAATCTGGTTTCAGGGTCAAAGTAAAAGTTCAGTGGCTTGTTTGCATAGTCCACATGCTACACAGGAACGATTTTTATGAGGGCTTTAATGTGATACAGGTAGGTGCTCAGGAAGCATTGGAGAGGTTGGCAGAGGAAGAATTTGAGTAGAACAAGTCAGCAGTAGCACTGTGTTGCTCGGAGATTCACTCTACTGTGAAGGAGTCATTTCCTAGATTGGGGTATATGCTCCCTAGAATATGTATTTTTTCTTGTGTGGAGGTAGAACCCCATTACTATGCAGCTATAGATAGAGCTGTGAAACATAATGACAAGTCTGGCCAAGTCGCCACATAAGAGGTACTAATAAAAAGATTTCTTCACCATTTCTGCAGGTGCTAGTTCTCCAGCAGATCTTGCCTCTCCTACCCATGATGTGTGCCTTTTAAGGGAGCTGGGTGAACAGGCATTTTTAAAGTATTATTTTCCTTTCTTTGTTTTTAGTGCTACTACTACTGACTTCAACTCCTTGATGCACTCAAAGGTATTGTCATAGGTAGTATCTTCTGAGTTATATTGTCTTCTAATGCAGGAACCATCAAAGCGCACACAGCTGTGCAACAAGCTGCCGTTTCCTTTATTTTAAACAGGTAGTGGTTGTTGGCAGAGAATACGTAATGCAGAATGTCCTGCTTTGCATTTAACCTACCAGCCTGCTTGCACAAATCAAATTGGGGAACATTAGCTCTACAGTGCTTGTTGTACTTATTGCTGGAGATCCTGAGACTGAGTCAGTAAACTAGCAATTCCATACAGTTTATAGCAGGTTCAGGTATGATCTTTTATTGTCCAGGTATTGCCAGCTTCTGCAGCTGAAACACCTCAGTTACTAGAACAACCCACACATATTACCAAGTCTTAACCTCTAGAAAGGGACCTGTTGGATTCACCTACATAGCAGAGGGAAAAGACCCAAACTTATTATAACCTTACTTTTAAGATCACTTTAAAATAAAATCAGTTTGTAGTGTGTTGTTTTGTTTTTTTTTCTCAGACAAAATTTTAGTGGTGTTTTTTTGTTTGGTTGTTTTCTGTTTGGTTTTTGGTTGTTCTGGTTTTTTTTTCTTCACTACCCATGACCTTGACAAAGCGTCAGGAATCCTGATTTAAGTGCTCCTAGGAAGAGAAGAAAGGCTAATCCAAAGCCATTTGCCTCCCTACAGAATATGAATGGTGTGCACATGGTAAACAACCCTATTGGAACGATGAATTCTAAGAACAATGAGCAGCACCTACCTCAGGTAGGATAGATGTTAGATCTGGGGGGTGAGGGAAAAGACAGATGTGACCATCACTTGCTCCCACTCTTTCATATTTGTTCCTTGAAAGCTGTGTTACATGAACTCATTCTCCACCATCCTACAGCAGTCATGGCTTGGCCCTTTGCTAGCTCTTGCTCCCATTTAGATGCCCCCAGCACAGGTATGTTAAGAAGACCTTCCTCCAGCGGCTAGCACAATGCATTTTAGCTTTACATTCAGTAATGAGGTGTACCTGCCCATGGCGGGGGGTTGGAACTTGGTGATCTTAAGGTCCTTTCCAACCCTAACTATTCTATGATTCTATAATGTGATCACAAGTTTTCCTTCTTATTTCTCTGTTCTACCCTCTTTATTTCTGCAAAGCCTCCTTGGGAAAAACAAACATAGAAACAGACACCCCCCCCCCCCCCCCAAAAAAAAAAAAAAACAAACAAAACAAAGCTCGACACAAAAATAAGAGCCCTGACTCAAAAAACCCTACTCAGAACTAAACCAGCAGCAAGCATGGACCATTTAACTTCTCAGTCGATTAGTCTTAGTATCCACTTTTTGTCTTGACAAACATCCACCACCAAAATCCTTCATTACATCAGCCCATTGCAGAATTTCTACTTCTCCTGAGTGGATCCAAGAAATGATTGCTGTTTGGACTACTGTTATGTAGTATCTTGATGGTATAAACTGATGTCCAGGAAAGACTGGCCTAAAATCTACACGCAAATTTGCATTCACAGTTCAAAAGAATCTGAGTGTATGCTTCCAAAAAAAGGTAAATGTGCAGCTCCTGGTACTTAATTATCTCTTATACCCATTTACAATACATAATCAGTGATTATTTTGTAACTAATATATTCACTTCACTTTTAACCTACAGGGATTTTAGCCAGGGTCCCCTCACCATGATGATGAACCATAGCATGACGGATTTTACTACATAAACCCAAATTCAAATTATTAAAATTAATAAATTTATCTGAACCATTTTCTGCATTTTTTCCTGATTCTAAATTGCAACCTTGGGATGCATGCGAAGTGCCTTGAAGTACTGTTTCTTTTTTTCAAGTTGATTTTCCAATACAGAATCTTTCCTGTCACTGCTAAAAAAGCTTCTTTGGAGCAGTATTTTCCTGCAGCTTTTTCCTCCATATATATTGCACAGTCTTTTTCATGCTGCTTCTGAGACACCTAGCACTCTATTCCTAATTAGAGGCGCTGAGCCAGTACAAGTGCAAAAAGATCAACAAGCATACGTCTGGTGGCTGCTCATAAGCCTCAAGGATTATGAATTCCTACTGCTGCAGTTCTAGTGTCCTGCCCCTGCAGCCCACAGAGGGTTTTGGCATTCCTCTGAGATTCCAGTTGGAACTGGAGCTGGCCCAAACCACAGCCAGAAGTCTGATTATTGGTTGTCTTACATTTCTGCCGCAGACCAGGCAATTTCAGGGCCCTGGACAGGTTTCTAGTTCTGACCGCAGTCCATTCCTGTGAAGAAAAACTGCCCCCCTCTTAAGCAAACCTGTTGTTTCTCTGGGACCAATATTGCCATGGCATTAGAACCAGTTGGGCTGCTGTTCTGATAACCTGCTTTCTTTGGTTAATCTATTCCCTCACAGGCTCAGATACTGGTCCTGCCTCCTAAGCCCTCAGAACTGGGCCTGACCACCAAGTACCGGTATCAGACCAGACATGACCACATGATCTGTAAATGCCTCTCACTGAGTATCTCATACGCAGCAACCATTGGAGGACTGACAACCATCATAGGGACCTCGACTAGTCTCATATTCTTAGAGCACTTCAACAAGTAAGTGATATTCTGGTTGTGTGAGAATGATGGTTGGGTCATTACTGTCTCTGTGCTTTTCCCCACAGGTTATCTACCACCTCAAGGAACCCTTGTAAGACAATCTTTCTAAAGGCAATTTTGTTTCCTCCTCTGATGGAGGAAATGTAACTTTTCTTCATGCACAGAGATGAATCTGAATATTTACTGCTGTCACTGTTGTCATGGTACCTTTCATTTCTTTCCCTGAAATGGTGGTAGCAAAGAAAACTAATTTTGGAAGATAGCCTTAACCCAAGGATTCAGATTTTGCTTTATTTTCAAAGATCTTGCTGTTACTGCACCAAATGCAGGTCAAACATTTTTGTCAGAGCCCAGCAGGCTACACTCATTATTTGTGTGATTGACAGTAAGACATAAATAGAGATTCTAGGTGAAATAATTCTTTAGTCTGTCATCATTAAACAGAGCTTTAACAAAATCAACAAGTAAGGCCAGAATTTCACTCTTGATTAAGGGGTTTTGTGTGTGGCTAGACAATCCAGACCACCTGGTCTTAAAGGAGAGAAGTACTATATGGCTCATCTCTTGGTCAGGCACTGTCAATGGTTGACATTCTATGGCAGTTGATATCCCTATGCACATATAATGCAGCTGTTGCAAACAAATAGTGACACAATTTTTCTATCATGCCATGACATACATGTATGTGAGTGTGTGTGTGCATCTATATATACTGGGGGTGCCTGTCCTTTTACTGTTCTGACTTCTTGTGCACCCTTTTTTTCCTTCTTTTACAGCCACTACCCAAAGGCTGAAGTGGTGAATTTTGGAACCTGGTTTTTGTTCAGTTTCCCCGTCTCCCTCATCATGTTGGTCCTGACTTGGTTCTGGATGCATTGGCTGTTCTTGGGTTGCAAGTAAGTTCAGATTGCTCAAGATGCATGGATTAAAAAAAAGCAGGAAATATGTGTCTCCTCTAGAAAATCTGTCATAATGAAGTTTCCAGTTGCAAATGGCAAAATCTAAGCCACAACTTCCTTCTTCTTGACAGAACAATTACTGGAGGAAATCATTGCTTAACTGCACTGCATAGGCAGCAAGCAGTGTACAGTATTGCTGCTTGAGAGTGAAGTGCCTAGGTTTTGCTGATAGAAGACTTTACTATGCATTCAACTGGTTTTTTGACTCTTATGACCAAGAGGATCCCATTGTGGACCAAAAACCTTGTTAAAAGTCCTTTCAGAAAAGTACAGCTTAAAAGATGAATAGAAAAACAGCTACAAGTGAACAAGTTACTTTTCAGGTCTGCCCCCAGCTCAATGAGATTAATGTAAGACCAGTTAAAATTAAAAGTAAACAGACTCCATATGTATTTCTGTAATAGCCTAGGAGATGCATACCTTTTGATACCAGTAAGTCCTTCAGCCCTAAAATAAGAACAAGGTTCAGTCTCCCAGTTCATTTGTACCACCTATGTGCTTTGCAGTACTCAGCAACAGCAAAGTTAGTGAAAATTGCCTAATGTGTGCATTTAGAGTGGATTAGTTAACATGCATTAGATTTTGGTGCAGACACATTTACTCAGAATTAAAGTGACCTTAACTTGATTTAGTTTACTCTTAAAACTGACATCACTAATTTATTTCACCTAAGATGATGAATACATTGATAATGACTTCTGCTTGCTGCTGACCTTGACTAGATTTGAAGAGGTAATTTAGAGATGAATAGCTCCATGCTGTTCTTTCAGTCAGTCTCCTGAGCCTTGTAGTTTCGAATTAAAAAGCTAAAGTAAGTTTTTTGGGTTTTTTGGTTTGGTTTTTTTTTTTGGGGGGGGGGGGTGTTTGGTTTTTTTTTTTTTAATTTTGAAAAGAAACAGGCCTTAACATGACCCTCAATTATTTTTTTTTTAATAAACATAATTGAAATTCCACATTGCATCCAAGACCTCCTGCTGTTTAATGGTGTTCTAAATAATACTGGCAACTGACGCATTATCGACTTTTTGAGAAGTACTGGTTGATTCCAGGCCTCCTTAATCTCTTGAGTCCTGCTCACTGCAGTTCATTAAAGAACATATTATGTTAAGATCTGGGCTACAATACTCTGCCTTCACATCCACCTAAGCCTAGAAACACTTACGTTTTTATAACATGATGCCTAATGTCTGTGAATAAATGTTTACTGAATTTCTGTAACGTTAAAGTTCTTTTCCTAGGAAGCCCATTGTCATCAGTGGGTTCTTACCTGGCCCAGAGCTTTTTAGGCTCTAAACTAGATCAAAGAGGAAGGATAATGGACCCATCAAATGATTTTTGCCAGCAAAGCAGAGCTAAGTGTAAAAGCATTACTATAGAACTGGCCATTATTTAGTTCTTCTCTTCAGCTGGAATTTACTGGAGTGTAACAGCAATGTTTGAGAGGAAATTTAAATACTTAAGAGTTGCAGTGCTAAGAGCACTAAAACCAAGTGTCACATAAGTGCCCACTTACAAGTGAAATGAAAAGCCTGTTCAAAACTTTTTGTTAACCAGACATGGTCTGCCTGCATCTTGAGCTCTGCAAATTCCTTAGAGTATCTGTCCTTAACCAGATACGTAGAAGGAGATCATAGTCCATAGTTTGGCTGGTGCTATGGCATGGAACTCTAGTTGGGTACCAAATAATATATTGAATAGCAGGAACCAGAAATGCAGGCCATTGTGCTCCCATGGTATTTCATTCACTGACGTTCCTGTTGCTGCAGCCTACTTCAGACTGTCTTAGCTGCAGATGTTTCTCAACCTACCCAACACACCTCATGACAGAGGGCACAGTTGGAGTGGAAAAGCAGAGATCTGTGCCTCAAGCCACAGCAGAGTAATGCTACTGGAAAGAAGAAAAGTAAAAGGTTATAATGAGCCTACAAGTATATTAATTCCAATCAGGAATGTCCAGGCTTTGTTATAGTATGAAGGCAATCTGAATAAACTAAGAATTTAACCTAATTTTCATACAAATGCGGAGCAGGTTTAAATATATTTAGCCATGAAATGTGTTTGCACTTGTATGTCCCTGGCAGAAGCACACGGATTTTTCACCAGGACAAAACACTAAGCTGATTGCCTTGGTCTGTGGCAGAGGCCATTTAGTGCTACAGTGATTGTGCCTGGTTTAGAAACAGCTAATATTAGTAGAAATAGACAGGTCGTGAAAGCTATTTGAATCTTCAGCTCAGCTTTCCCACACTGCCTACTGTGAATCCTGAATATTCAAGTCAAACCTGGGCACAAAAGCCAGACCAGGCCCCATAACGTGTTGGGTACGCCTGATCCAACTGGAAAGCAGTCTCCTATTAAATATCTATTGACACCTGGCCTCTTGTCACAGTCTGTCAATATGGTGACACAAATTATCCATTGGAGGCTTCTGGCACCAGAAAAAATCCAACCAACTCCTGCTGTTTGAGGAAGCCTAAACAAAGGGAGCCCAGCCACAGCTAGAGATGGCTCAAAGTTATCAGTTAGTATTAGTCAGACCACCTGGGGGTACCTTCCTACTGTGTCTAGGATTGAATCTCAGGAGATCTTGAAACTAGACTACACAAAGATGCATGACATCAAGCCATCAAGCCTTGCCCCAGTCACATCTTCTCCCAATAGCCCCTGGCAACTAGAATTTTCAGTCTGCCTCATTACTGTTATTTTTATGAGGGTTTGCTTTTTTGTTGTTGTTTTTTTTTTTTTGCTTGATGCCCTTGTCTAATTTTACTGTGCTACATACTTCAGTTTTAAAGAGACCTGTTCTGTGAGCAAGAAGAAGAAAACCAAGCGAGAAGAAATGTCAGAGAGAAGAATTCAAGAAGAATATAAGAAACTGGGAAATGTTAGGTAAACCAGACCTGCCTTCCTTAGGAATTTGCCTAGGGAGGAGCATCCTTTCATATTGCCTTCCATGTTGATTTTGGCTCATGTAGGTTATTCTTAAACTGTCAGCTCTTTCTTCCCCTTTCCAGAATAGAAGCAGAACTAAATGTAAAAATGAACTAGTATTAAAGACTATTAAAAGCATGCATTTATATAGTTATTTATTTCTAAAGAAAAAAGAAATAAAATGAAAGATTCAGATTTATACCAGGATCCAGACCTCACCTGAGTCAAAGTTTGTCTCTGCCTTTGAACTAACGTGCAAATTGTTAAGGAACCCCACTTCGCAATTCAGGGACATACTTATTTTAGTGGATAGAAGTACACTGTTTAGCTGAGGCTTTGCAGCAGTCTCCCATGCCAGGAGATGTCCAGCCTTCCCAGTTGCCATCATCTTTTCTCATGGTGACAAGAAATGTCTCTTGAAAAGATTATTTTGCAATATTTTCATTTTTCAAAAGGGATGATATCTCATTAAACTATTATTCTTAAAATATATTTGTGTTGTTCAACTGAAATGTTGACAGATCAACTTGCTGAATATGATTAACTCCGAATCTAGATTGTTGTTCAGACTGCCTAAATATGAAATCATACTTAATTTAAATCTACCCTACATTAAAACTCAGTATCCTCAAGTCACCTTGTACTTGTTCCACGTTTAAAATATCTGTGCTAATTTACATTACAATTTGTTCATACGTTTTCTACACTTTTAAAAGATGCAATAAAAAGTGTTTACAGTGGAATATTAACATAAGCTTTAACTTGTTAACACATTTAATTAGATATTAATCCAAATACAAAGCATTTAGATATAGATTTTCCCTTAGTTCTTGCCCATGAAAGATTGAATTGCAAATACAGATATTTTTAGCTTAATTTTTTACTAGGTTTACAGAGTTTTCAGCTGGGAATCAGATGTAAAATTCTTTAATTCAAACTAGTCTTCCTTTCTATTTTCTGTATTTTCTGGGTTTTATCCTTTTTTTTGGAACTGATTTCTACTTTTTCAGTAGAAATTTCTAATTTCTACTGGAACCTGCTCCTGGGTTTTCAGACAGACCATGGATTTAATTCCTAGGGTTTTTTCTTTATTTCTTTATTTCTTTTTATTTTTTTTTATTCTTTACTTCTAGCTATCCTGAGATGGTGACTGGATTTTTCTTCATTCTGATGACCTTGCTTTGGTTCACTCGTGAGCCTGGCTTTGTACCAGGATGGTCATCTTTTTTTGAGAAGTAAGTGAAATTACCTAAACAATCACAGAGTGCCTTGCTTCTTTGAAATTTCTACAATATTTTTTGGCCTTATAACATTATCAGCCACTTTTCATAAGGTGGTGAAAAATGAAGTCTTGTTAATCTACACCTGTTCACATGATGGAAAATTGTATTCCTTCTCAATAAGCAGAGTGAATTAAATAGAGAAAGTAAAATAAACATATTTCAGGTGTAAAAACATATTTCAGGAGGGTCAGATTCTGAAGTAAAAACATTTTAGTGCATTCACATAGAAGCTGTCAATGGAATAGATTGCAACTTAATTAAAATTGTTCATTTCAACTGAATATTACATAGATGGTGATTGAAGCAGATAATTGTTATTTTATTTTAAATAATGTTGAATCAAATTTTATTAAAAGTAACTATAACACACAATAAGCATATAAAAGAATAAGTGATCTAAAGTTACATTTTCTTTACTTTTCTACTGCATAATTATTATTTTTTTTTAATCCTAATTTTGATAGAAAGCCAGTTTCTAATATTGGGATTTCCTGAGGCTCTCTGGAGTATGGCACTCCTCAAAATATTTTCTCAGGATGAGTGTTAAGCATTTAATTTAACATCAATCTACAGTTCATTTTTAAAGGATCACTTGGGTGTGTCTTTTCTCCAGAAGGTGTTTAGAGTTTCTTGCTGTTGGTAAACACACTGTTTTTCTCTACTTCCAAGTTATTAGATTTGTAAACCAAGATGGATTCCTTTTTTTTATCCACTGGAATATTAAAATTTGTTGAACAGTCATTGAAGTTGGCTATAGAAGTCAGTTTAATAAATAGGGAAAAAAATCCAATTTAAATCTTTAATAGTAGACATATATTTCCAGTGTGCTGTTAGTAAGACTTCAGATGTGGAAATACAACTTCACCTGCAACAATTACTTGGAACCATGTTCCTTGTTTGGAAAGGTTTCTTTTAGTGTACTTCTATGATAACCCTACTGTTTCTTTCCTAGGAAAGGTTACAGAACTGATGCCACTGTCTCTGTGTTTCTTGGTTTTCTCCTTTTCCTGATTCCAGCAAAAAAACCTTGTTTTGGAAAACGGGAAAAAGGTGAGAAGGATGCAGCAAGAAAGAGATCTGGCACATTTTCCAGTTTCTTAATGACATATTTCTATTCTCTGTAAAATGTTCCAAGAAGAGATTTTTATTGTGGTGGATCAGGGTTCAGCTGATCCAATATCAGCCCTTTCTATGTCAAACCCCCATTTTTGTTGCTTTAGATCATATTGTCTCATCCAAATATGGCAAATAGATCTCTTGCCTGAGGCCACTATCTCTTCTTAACAGAGTTAACGAAATTTAGGACTGAGTTTTAGGAAAGGTTCAGATGGAGTTCCATATAGAGAAATATAACGTAGATGCTTGCAAAACTGGCTGAAGATAAGCTCTAATAAATTATTTGGTCATCACTTATAGAGCAGAAATCATCAATAATGTCATAAAATAAGCATAAAAGAGGTCACTAACTGTCAAAGTGTCAATTTTGTGCTATGCTTCCCTTACAGTCTTCTTGACAATAATTTCACATTCACGTTTGGGTAGCACTCAGTGGAGTTGACAAGTTTGCTGTGCCAGGCTTGTGTAAAAGTCATATTGCCAGCATAGAGTCTTATATAGAGCTACAAATATATGCAGATATGTTTATTTTTTATATTGACATATATTATGCAGCATTTAGGAAAAAAAAAAAAAGTAACACTAAGAAAATACTCAGGCATCTAAAAAATAATGTCCTCCCATAAAACCTAGGGGCACAAATGCACTTTATCAAGCTTCATGGCCTAGTGGAAAGAGTAAATGACCTTCTTGGAGAAAATAATCCCATTGTAATTTTATTTCTCCATTTTTGCATTCTACATATATTTTACATATGTATAAACACAACAGAGCACATAGTCCCTCAAAAAGCTATAGAATGAAACAAATGAGTTTATAACTGCTAGCATCAACAGATCAGCCAGGGGGAAGGCAGGGCATTTGGAATTTATAAGCTGCATTTTCTGAGGCCAAGCTAACCAGAGAAGTAGGCTATGTGCTTATTCACCTCTTTTACAGATAGTTCTCAAGATAACTCCCATGAATACTACATTATTCCTATTAGAATGAAAAAGGCAAAGATCTTTACTAAAGGGTCAATGTAACACTGGTCACGCATTTGCTTTATTTTGATACAGGAGATGGTGAAAAGTCAACAGACACTAACACACTGGATCCTATTATCACCTGGAAGGACTTCCAGAAGACCATGCCCTGGGAGATTGTGGTGTTGGTTGGAGGAGGTTATGCCTTAGCAGCTGGATGCAAGGTACTGATTTAGATTTTTATCCTCCTTCCTAAGAAAATTATAAACCTGGACTTTAATCCCTCTGTATCCCTCCCCAGTTTTGATTTTCAACGCGGATACTTTCAAGTTGGTACACAATCTACTCCCTACTCCCTGCACTCAATGGACAGCTATCTAGCCAACAAAAAGTGAACATCTGCCATTTCAGATGCTTTTTCTAAAGCATCTGAATATCTAGATATTCCTACAAGGCTGGCAGACAGGACACAGGATCTGAGGGAGATGTCACACTTTCTCAACTAGCAACTAACCAGATAGAGGGGGAGCATCAGCTGCCACTGGATGCTCTTCTTTAGGCAACTGAGTCAAGTTCCTAGTGCTGACTGGACAAATAATACTCTAGACTTTACTGACTATAACTACACTTAGTATAATTCATGGATACACATCTAACTCTCCTATAGGCTTTTACATGTAGACAACTGAATTTGTATGTTTTAATCTCAAAATGAATTCTACCCAGAGTGTGCAATCCAAACCACCAATTTGCAACACTCCAGATGCGTAGATCAGTATAATACTAAAAATACCTTTTTAGTATTATTAACTGCCAACTGTAACTCTTTGTTACTAGGAGCAACTATTTATGAGGCAGTCCAATGAAATTCAGTTTACAGAACAAAAGAAAATGCATAATGCACTGACTTGAACTTTCTTTATTTGCTGGTGGCATTCTCTGATGCAAACTGCTCCAAAGAGAAGAATCTGTTTTAAAAATATACCAACTATTCACTAATTCTTGTGTTTCTGACCTTTCTCCAGACCTCTGGCCTCTCTACATGGATTGGAAGCCAAATGCTTTCCCTCAGCAGCCTTCCCTACTGGGCTGTAACTCTGCTGGCCTGCATTTTGGTGTCACTCGTAACAGAGTTTGTCAGCAATCCAGCAACTATAACCATCTTTCTACCTATTTTATGCAGTATGGTGCGTAAAAACAATGACATTTTCAGCCTGTTGTTTCCTGATAGGCTCCTAGGAATGTTTCAGGTTGTCAGGGTATTGACACACACATTTGCCCAACCCCGGCTCCCAGTTGGATGCATTCTTTAGCTTAGGAAAAATAATAAACTCAGGAAACCAAAAACATATTTTAGCACTGAGGAATTTATTCAATACCTTTCAAAGTGAAAACAGATGCTGCACTGACAGGTTCATAGTCTGTGTACAAGAAAAGGTGATGATGTAATGAACAACGTAGGTGAAGCCCACATAAGGCTTGAGATAATTTTATCAATGTTATTGTAAATGTGATGTTCATTAGCAATTAGTCACACACTCACAACTTGTAAGAAAAGACTGTAGTACTGAATTTTAAATCAGATTTAAATGTATTCAAGGGGATGATCTAGTAAGCAGACCATAATCCAACATGGAAAGCAGCAATATTTGTAAGAGACAGGAATAAAACAGGAGATTGGTGATGAAGGCAAAGGAAAGAGACACAAATTTCATTTCATTTTATACTGGAATAGCAGTTACAGAAAATCCTCTGATTTATTTACTTTCTTTGTAATATGAAGTTTTTCTTACCAAGAATGTGGGTCATTAATCGTGTTTCCCTATTATAACAATTGTATGGAATTTTCCCAAAGTATATTATGTGAACAGCTCTGAGTTAATATGAAAATATGGTCAGATGAAAATAAGTAATTATGTTTGTATGATTTATAGTTCAGATTTACTTCTGCTCCATGCAGGAAGAGACTCTCCTGAAAAAAATTTAGAGCAGTAATATACCTTTAATAGTCTGAATTGCCATCTTAAGGCAGTGTCTCTTTTTTGACTGCAAAAGTAACCTGGAAACACTTCCCTCCCCAAAATGAAGTTAGCCTTGGGAGTAACCTTCCCTTTCCCTCTGATATAAAACTAGGCCATGGCAATGTAAACAAAAATGCAACATTTCACCAATACTGAAGGCTGCAGTGGAAGAACAATTCTCTAGACCACCATAAAGTGGCATGTGTGTTTGTACCACAGACAACTAGTATTCTCAACCACTGTTTAGGAGGACATTACATAATGGTCTCAGTATATTAACAGTCAAAAGAAGGACATTCTTCATGTCAACTCGATGTGACTTCTGTTGGGCTAAGACTGAAGTAGCAGTCAATGTTAAGATCCAGAAGACACAACACACAGAATGTCATGGAAAACAAGTGGGAGAATGAGCAGAGGTGGTCGAATAGTAGCAATATCCACACTCCCTCAATGTGAAACGTCTCAAGAGAAATCCCTGGAACATGATCAACTCTAAATTTTTGCACTTCTTAAAAAAACCCCAACAACCAACCAAACCAAAAAGATCCAAAGCAAATAAAAAAATACTTCCACATGTAAGTTCAGAAACTAGGGAAATGAGATCCACAGAATCTTGTCTTCACGTAAAGCAGAGAGGGTCCTTTCATCCTATTGTGAGCAGTGGCTTTTCTTGGTTAAGTGAAACACCTCTCTCCCTCTCTCTTTCCAGTCAGAAACCCTACTTATCAACCCTTTGTACACCCTGATTCCTGTCACCATGTGTATCTCATTTGCGATGATGCTACCAGTGGGTAATCCTCCAAATGCCATTGTCTTCAGTTATGGGCACTGTCAGATTAAGGATATGGTGAGTCTTGAGATCAGGTATATCTTCCCATGCTTCATGAAACCCCACCTTGTCCCCATATCAAACAGCAATGATAATAACTATGATATTGGTGCTAGTATGAAGCCTTCATATTAGAGACTGCACTGCTACTTTGCAATTGACCTGTCAGGTTAAGAACATCCATACATCTGCTGTATGATATATGTATTTCTCAACTTTAATTTTCATGAATGCGATAGTCTAAAGAGGTATTAAAGAACAGGAGTACACAATCCTTTGCATTGACCTGCTAAGCACAGGACAGCATAAGAAATTAGATTTGTCACAGCTCCACGATAAGTCATGTAGTTATCACCCTGCTATGAGTGATATAACTCCCTATTCTGATTATCAAATTGAGAAGTACAAGTGACAAACTGAGCCGTTTTCCAATGTACTGCATCAGCCCATGACTGCCACTCCTGAATACTCCTCACAATGGACAGTCTGATACACAATACTCACTGTGCATTTCTGGCTCTATGAAATCAGTATACACAATTAATCACACTATATATGTCAGTATACATACAGACACTCTACTGATTTCTTTTTCCCATGTTAACTGCTCCATGTTAACAAGTTGCCATTGACTGTGCTCTGATGTATTTTGCTTTTGTAGGTGAAAGCTGGCCTGGGTGTAAATCTGATTGGCCTAGCTGTGGTCATGGTGGCAATCAACACTTGGGGAATTAGACTCTTCCAGCTGAATACTTTTCCAGAATGGGCAGTGGTCAGCAACATCACTAACCAAACATAATCTCCAAAGGAAAAAAAATAATAAAAAATTGCAAGACCAAAGTGAGTTGGGAAAAAATATTAAACCTACAATGCACATATGAAGAAAAGAGAAAATTTCTGGATACACAGAACTAGGATCCATAGGAAAACCATGAAGAAAATCAACAGGGAGGTCTTCTGCATAAGCTTTTCAGTTCTGAAAATCAGTATGAGTTAAAAGGAAAGATTAGCTTTGCTGTTACTGCTTTCCTTATGATACATAACTCTGAAAAAAAAACTCTCCTCCAAGTTGTCTGCCTATGGCTTTTTCATGCCTGAGAACAAAAAAGGGGATAGAGGACTCCAGTGACCGAAGACACTGTACTCAGTAGTAGGGTATAATCCTACCATTAATTCCTTTATTTTTTTATTAATCCTACCATTAATAAAGAGAATGGAGAGTCTTATTCCCAAACCCAAAGTTTTATAAGTCTACTTCTTTTAAAGGCTAGTTATTATTCTTCTTTTGAGGTGACTCATCACCATGTTGGAAAATACCCAACACTTTCTCACCTCACCCATATGGTCTGGACAAAAACACAGCTACCAACTCTCAGCTACAGCACTTCAAAGGGATAACAGAAGACACTAATCAGATAGGAAGTCGTCTCCTCAGAAGGAGAATGTTTTTTTCCCCAAACACTATTATAGTTTCTAGTATTGCAGTACTTGCAAACTATGCTTTGGAAGGAAGAGCTTCAGAAACATAAAGTTTTGTTCAATACCTACTTTCTTTGCCATTGTACTGCAGCTTGAACCTTTTCAGCAGGGGAAGCTGTGACCAGTAAAACCTTACCAGGCCAACAGACTCATTGCTCTCCTCTCTCTTTGGCTGCTGTTTAGATAGTTATGATTCCTCTGACAGAGATAGTACAATGACATCCAAGATGTCACTCAGTGCTGCTCCATGAAGGGAGAGGGCTGAAGTGGAGTGGTGCTGGTGTATCTCCTCATCGTGTGCATTCACTTGAACATCACACCCACCTGCTCTCTAACAGCCCAGAGAACAGGCACTTCAAATGCAGGAAACTGTGACATAGAGCAGCTAACTACCAAATCAAAAGGCTAACCTTTTTATCATCTGCAAAGTGAATGCCTTGCTTTTCTGATTGGATCCTTGCAATACTCAATAAACCTTTTCTTGTATTATGTCTTGTTTTTAATAATTTGTTTAATGTCAATACATTGAAGCTGTATATTAGGATGATTGGATCTCATGTAATCACACTATAACTATACTTTAATGAATTTTATGCTTCCCACTTACAATCTAGGCTGTCTAGCTCTTAGTGTGAATGTCTATTCTGCAAAAATAAAATATTAATAAAATGAACTATGCATGACTGTCTGGTGATGAGGTGTTGTATTCTCTTCCCTTGTTATTTCCTTTATCATTATTATTACTGGTGGTAGCATTAGTGATTTGTGTTCTACCTTAGTTACTAAACTGTTCTTATCTCAACCCGTGGGAGTTGCATTCTTTTTGATTCTCCTCTCCGTCCCCCCAGGAGTAGCGGGAGGGCAAGAAGGGGTGGCAGTGAGTGAAAAGCTCTCTGGCTGGGTTTAAACCACAACAGCATCCCAACTGCAGCACATCAGAACTGCTCAGATGGCTTTCAAACTGATTATGGGACAGTGAAAGAGCCATTGAGATGGTCTTGTCCCTTGGAATTGGCCAGCCAGCACGGCGTGCAGCCCATATATTGCCTATTTAAGCACAAGAGTGTATTTCAAACATCTCAAGAGGTAAAGTTAGGATTGTCCTGGCTAGGAGAAAATTAATATTTTTATTACTTAGAAATTAACATGATTCACATGACTGTAAGGGTGGTGAGGCACTGGAACAGGTTGCCCAGGGAGGTTTTGAATGCTCCATCCCTGGTGGTGTTCAAGGCCAGGTTGGACAGAGCCTTCGGTGACATTGTTTAGTGTGAGGTGCCCCTGCCCATGGCAGGGAGGTTGGAACTAAATGATCTTAAGGTCCTGTCCAACCCTAACTATTCTATGATTCTATGTTCCCTATGAAGGTGCAGACCCTTCAGGGCTCGTCCTTATTGGCTGCTGCACAGCCGTTCCTGACCTCCAGTCTAACAGAGCTGTGATGTCACAGCCTGGGTTCCACCAGCAACTGCCCGTTACCAGGGAGAGGCACAACAGAGAGACCTTTGCCCCTGCACCCTACCCTGTGCTCCCTCTGACCCCTCCTGGACCCCCAAACTTTTCTGCCCTACTCTCAGCCCTTCTAACCTTCTGCCTGCCCTAGTCTCCTTATCCCTGATCCACAGTCCTAACTTGGTACCACCATGCAGGCACCTAGGAAGAGCCTTGTCCTGCTGGCAGCCCAGCGCAGCCCTTGCAGGAGTGAGGAAACAAAAACCTGCATCCGCAGAGTAAGGAGCCTGTGGGTGCCAAGGCAGGCACGGGACTGGGTCTGTGCCCGGGTCCCGCAGGCAGGGAGCACGGTTGCTAACCCCTGTTCTCTCTGCTCCGCAGGTCCTCAAGCCATTACCACCCTGCAAGGTGCTGAGGCACAGAAGGTGCAGACTCCTCCAGCTTCAAGTTCCAGCCTGTCAGAGCTGGTGGGTGCTGCTGGCCAAGGAGCCCCTGGCCTCCCACTGGCTCCTGCTGGGGACATGCCCGGGGCCCCAACACCCCATGGCTCTGCCCGGGCAGCGAGATGGGGCCCAGTACCCAGGCCCTTATCCCACAGCTCTGTTCTGCTGCCCAGGGCAGCACCAATGCACTCTTCTGCTTGGCTTTTCCTTAGGCTGTTCCAACAATTGAGAGAGCTGGAGGAGGAGGCTGCCAGCGGGACCCAAGTGGGGCTACAGGGGGAAGAGAGCATGGAAGTTGAGACAGAGTTGGAGGAGAAGCAGGCAATGGAGGTTGATGTGCAGTTGGAGGAGATGGAGGAAATGGAGGTGGACTGTGGAGTGGTAAGGCAGCACGTGCCCCCCATCCACTGCCAGCAGTGAGGTTGGCTCGGCTGCTGCTGCGCTGGTCCTGGGGCTGTGTGCGACAGCCCCACTGCAAGGACGCGGTGCCTGGTGGTCTCTTCCTGGCAGCACAAGTTCCACCACAGCATTGCCCTGTGCTGCCTTTGGGCCACGCGAGCCAAGTGTGATTGCATTGAGCCCGGCTCCCAGCCACAGCCAGGAATGAGCCCCGAGGCAGAATCCCGCTCTCCCCAGTGTGTCCCAGGGCTGTAGCAAACACAGTGACCCATCAGTAGCCTCACTGAAATGACCTTGTGCTGCTTGCTTCCAGGCTGATCCAGATGGAGGTTTTCCCGTGTTGGCAGATTTTTACAGAAGACTTGTTTTCCACAGAAGATTGCTGGTTTTTCTCAGAAGGTTGTTGTTTTTTCATAGATTATTGGTTTTAGATAGAATAGTTGTCATTTTAAGTAGAAAAGTTGTCATGTCTTGTGCTGTTTGTTTTGTTTTGTTGTTGTTGTGTTGTTTGTTGTTAAATAAATACATTTCTTGATGCTTTATTTATCCAGTCTCTCTTTGTATTTGCTGTTGTTGTGGTTTAAACCCAGCCAGAAAGCTCGTTCACTCACCCCCCCCATCTTGCCCTCCCCGAACTCCCGGAGGGACGGAGAGGAGAATCAAAAAGAATGCAACTCCCACGGGTTGAGATAAGAACAGTTTAGTAACTAAGGTATAACACGAATCGCTACTGCTACCACCAGTAATAATAATGGTAAAGGAAATGACAAGGGAAGAGAATACAACACCTCACCACCCGCCAACCAATAACCCACTCCCCCAGCCCGACCAAGCACCGACCGATACCTAGTCCAACCCCGCAGTCCCTAGCCCTTCTGGGTAACTCTCTGTTACGTCCTGGGCATGACGTGCTGTGGTATGGGATACTTCTTTGGTCAGTTTGGGTCAGGTGTCCTGTCTCTGCTTCCTCCCTTTTTTCCCCTCCTCCCTGGCAGAGCATGAGGCTCACAAAGTCCTTGGTCAGACTAAAACATCATTGTTATCAGCTCTGTTCCCAGGTCGAAAGCCAAAACACAGCACTGCACCAGCTACTAAGAAGGAGAAAAAATGACTGCTCCTGCTAAATCCAGGACAGCTGTGAGCACATGTGGTGCTGACAGACAAGTGGTTTCCACTTGCTCCAGGTTCCCAGGGCTGGAGGGGTCAGGAGGTGCTGGCCCTGGGTGCCGGGGCACCCCAACTGTCCTCGCATGGCTTCCCTGCCCTGGCAGAGCAGCTCTTTCAGGAATAGCAGAGAGGAGAATCAAGAAGCACTTGAAGACATCTGAAGGAAGTGTGATTATTTTAAACATGGGATAGCTCTGTGTTAATATGCTAAAGGATGCCAAGTCAATAAAGGTACTGAATATCCACTGAGTACAAGACAAATAGGGAAGAGTCGGGAAGATTAAGCTACATCTTAAAGAACATATCAAATGATGAACCACTAAGCTGGTTTAGGCAACTTACGGAGTTTACATACAGGAGGTGCTCAGTCCCCTGATCATCCTCGTGGCCCTCCTCTGGACTTGTTCCAACAGTTCCGTGTCCTTTTTATGTTGAGGACACCAGAACTGCACACAATACTCCAAGTCAGGTCTCACAAGAGCAGAGTAGAGGGGCAGGATCACCTCCTTTGATCTGCTGGTCACGCTCCTTTTGATGCAGCCCAGAATACGGTTGGCTTTTTGGGCTGCAAGTGCACACTGAAGCTGGCTCATGCTCAGCTTCTCGTCGACCATCACCCCCAAGTCCTTCTCTGCAGGGCTGCTCTGAATCTCTTCTTTGCCCAACCTGTAGCTGTGCCTGGGATTGCTGCTACCCAGGTGTAAGACCTTGCACTTGGCATGGTTAAACTTCATAAGGCTGGCATCAGCCCACCTTTTCCCCCGGATGTTGGCAGAGATTTTAGCTTGACATTTTCCAGAGCTTTTGGCAGTGATTTTGCCAAGGCTTTTTGTCATGGATTTTACCAGGGCTTTAGCCAAAGCTTTTGCCAAAGAATTTCACAAGGCTTTTGGCAGTGTTTTTTACAGGCTTTTTGCCAAGTCTGTTGTCAGGGCATTTGCCAAGGTTATTGCCAAGGATTTTGCCAATGATTTTTCCAAGGTTTTTACCAGGTATTATACCAAGGTTTTGCCAGGGATTTTGTCATGCTTTTTGCAAGGCTTTTGCCATGTATTTTTCCAGTGATTTTGCCAGGTCTTTAGCCAGGGTTTTTGTGGGGTCTTTTGTCAAGTCTTTTGACAGGTATTTTGCCAGATATTTAGCTGGAGCTTTTACCAGGACTTTTATAAATGCTTATGTCAGGGGTTTTGCCAGAGCTTTTCCCAAGTATTTTCCCATGGTTTTTCACAGTGATTTTCCAAGGGATTTTGCCAAGGTTTTTTCAAGGTTTTTTGCCAGGAGTTTTACCACAGCTTTAGCCATTGATTTTGCCAGGGATCTTGCCAAGGTTTTTGCCAGGGCTTTTGAAAGTGATTTTGCCAGGGCTTTTGCCATGGCTTTTCAGAAATGTTTTACCAGGCTTTTGGCCATTATTTTGGCAAATCTTTTCTATGGAATTTGCCAAGGCTTTTGCCAGTGATTTTGCCAAGCCTTATTTGAAGGCTTTTGATGTGGATTTTTCCATTGATTTTGACTGGTCTTTTTCCAGGATTTTTGCCACAGCTTTTCCCAAGGCTTTTATCAAGATTTTTACAATGCTTTTGACAAGTCTTTTGCCAAGGATTCTATCCAGGATTTTGCCAGGGCTTTTGCTCCATTATCCTAGAGTCCACGGATATGTACCCTGCTGCCTTGGATGGTTCATTTGTTCTAAACCTTTCAGGAGCACCAACATTCCTAACAACTAATGCCATATGTTTTTATGCTTGGGCAGTGTGTCTTAGAAATAGTGGAGAACTATGATCCACAGTGAGCATTAAGACTCAGTGAGACTGAGCTCCCTTTTAACTTTGGAGGCAACAGGTGACAGTACCACCACTCCAAGGAAACCGGTCAACTCCTGACTGTGGTTGCAGGGTGGATGGTGTGGCAGGTACACCAGCCCTGACAAAATCCTTGACAAAAGCTCTTGTAAAAGCCTTTGCAAAAGCCCTGGCATACAGAGTGGAGCTGGGCATTTTCAAGGAGTGTCTGTACCCCACAATTGCTTTGACTGCACCCTGTAAGGACAGTGGACTGCCTGATCCATGTTACACTGAATATGTATCATTGATGTTGGTGGATCTTAAATTGTATTAGAACAATTAATATTCTTTAATTTATTGATTCCATGCCATTTAATTGTACCACTGGGTTTATTGAGTCTTATGGATTTAGGCAGGTCTATGCAAGGGCCCTGTATGTCTTTATCGCATTGGTCAGCCTCTCCTGAGACTCCCATTCATCTCTTCTTACCTTAAGTTCAGAGCCCCCCTTAAGCACAGATATTGAGCTCCCACCTCCTTTGTTCATTTGGCCTCATCTTTTGCATAGTTGCTACACTGCAGTCTTATCTCCAATCAACTCTCTGACTCCATCTCCTTTTGCTTAACAGGCTTCTTGAGATGGATCTTAGGACTGGTTCACCTCCTTGCTGTACCTGGGACATATAATGGACCCCGCTACCAGCCACTGATTCTTACATGCCATGTATAGTGGTGCTCCACTGGTGATGACACTGGCTGCAAGGAGATCACCCTTGGCTCCTGATTTTCTAACAAGAAGTGCCTCTATAGGCACACCAACTGAAAGGGAGACCTAAAGAAATGCTGAGGGAGTTGGCTGATGTCATTTTGAGGCCACTCTGTATTGTCTTTGCAAGGTTATGTTGACCTAGGGAGCCCCCAGAGGACTAAAAGCTAGCAAATGTCACTCCTGTCTTCAGGGAGGAAGACTATGGGAACTACAGGCTGGTCAGTCACAGTTCAAACCTTGAGAAGGTGATGGAACACATCCTCCTGGAAGCTGGTTCTAAACATAGTAAATACAAGAAAGTGACTGGGAGTAATCAGCATGAATTTATGCAGAGGATATGATGCCTCATCAACCTAGCAATTGTACAACACAACTACTAGTTTGGTGGATGAGAGAAGAGCAACTGATGTCATTTTGCGAGGCTTTTGGCAAGGCTTTTGACAAGGCCTGCCCCAGCAAATTGAGGAAGCATGGACTTGATAACTGAATGGTAAGATGGATGGAAAACTGGCAGAAATGCTGGTCTTGAAGTGTTCTGGTCAGCACCACAAAGTCCAGCTGCAGCCAGTCTCCAGTGGGGTACCCAGGGAAAATTACCAGGGCCAATACTGAATTAATGGACACTGGCATATTTATTAATGGCTTCCACGACAGAGCAGAGTGCACTCCTGGCAAGTTTGTATACAGTACAAAACTGGGAGGAGTGGTTGGTGCACAAGATGGCCATGTTGTCATTCAGAAGGAATTCATAGGCCAGAGAATGCAAAGTCCCATATTTGAGGAATAATCCCACACACCAGTACAAGCTGGAGCTGACTAGCTGGAAAGCAACTTTGGACCTGGGGGGCCTGGTAGACAAGTTGAACATGAGTCAGCAGTGTGCCCTTTGAGGCAAAGAAGGCCAACAGCACCCTGAGCTGCATTAGGCAGAGCATCCTTCACAGGCTGAGGGAGGAGGTGGTCCTTCCCCTCTTCTTAGCCCTGGTGAAACACATCTGGAGTGATTCATCTAAGACTGCATATTTTAGCTGGCAATTCCACCTATCCCCATAGGCACTCTGAACTTGCAGAAGTTCAGAGTACCCATGTTAAGTGAGAAACTTGCTCCTAGGTATTTTTGAAGCAATGAATTTGAAATGTAGGATGAAGTTGATGGTCTTTTAGATTTTTTTAGATCACTCATGTTGGTGCAAAGTCTACACTGCTGGATGTGATCTTTTAACATTAATGGAAAAAGCAGGAGCTTCCACCCCCCCAGGTTAAATTTTGACAATCAAAGTTTCCCATCTCCAACAGAATGCAGATCTTAAGAACAGTGAATTACTGCTGCTCACAACAAATGACAAGAAATCCTGAAAGTTACTTCATAATGAATTGAATTTCTCTTGCAATGTTCCAAGAACTAGGGCACTACAAAGTGTGAGGTACACATAATAACAGGACTAACAGGACTCCAGCTGGATCAGGTAAAAATGGCTTACAAAATATTAGGAAAAGCAATAACAAAAAAACCAAATGACCTTATCCAGTCACATATCACCTGGTAATCCAGATTCTGAAACCCTTGAAAATGAGTCCCAGGAAAAGTTCAAGGTTACTCTTTTCAAAAGAAGGACAATCCAGTTCTAGGAGACAGGAAGTGGAGGAAACTCCCATGCGAACCCTTTACTTGATCTTTGTTGCCTGAAAGGTAAATTGCATCCTTGATGTGTGTACAGAAGTGACCTGGATAATATTGCTCTGTTAGGACTTGTCACTGGGAGGTTTCTTCTTGGCTTCCACATCCTTCTTAAAATCTTCAAGCTTCTTTGCAATGTTAGGAATCTTTAAAGACAAAACAAACAACAAAACCCACACAAATTAAAAAAAATCCCAAGCTATATGAGCCTCAGCAGGAAAGACAATACCATAAAGACAGCAAGAAATCCTATGTTTAAATTGGTTTCTAAAAGATACTTGCTTCCAGGATCTGCTACCTTACACAGAGGTTAAAAACAAAGCAACATCAAGCAAACAGTAGCTGAAAGTACCTCACATGAGGCTTCAGGAAATATTTTAGATTGTTAAGACTAAGATTCAGCCAGGGGTGATGGGAACAGCAGGGAGGAAACAAGATCACGTTTTGCAGTAAAATTAGTAAGACCAGCCTGGCTTCCTCACTGAAAGGACAAACTACCAATAATAAGCAGATTTAAACACTGATGCACAGACTTTAATAATGAACTATGCTAGTCACAAACCAAACTAAAAGAGATGCTCAAGAGCAGCAAATATGTTCAAGAAATTTATGAAGAAATACTTCCCCATGTGCACCTCATGGGAGCCAAAATTGCCCATTGGAGACTTTTATTGCATTGCAAACTGGTAACCTTTTGCAGTTTCACACTTGTGTGTGAATTTCAAAACTTCAGCTTTGTCTTTCAAATAAAAGCATTTTGAGAAAATAATCTAACAGTAAATTTTGACAACTTTAATAATTAAAAAACCAAAACCAAAAAAAAAAAAAAAAAAACAAACAAAAAAAACCAACCAAAACCAAGCAGCAACTTTTAAGGGCAAGGAACAGTTTATCTCATGATTCTAGCTAAAACTGAGAATTGATAACGCAGGATTTTATAAATTGATTAAAATGAAAGTAAAGCAAATTTCCACTGATAGTTGAGGAGGAGGAGGGAGAGGGAGGGCTTTTACTACGTAAACAACCAACCAGACTGCAATTGTCTCATCAGATGTTTTGAGGATGATAGTACAGGTAATACCATTAGTTTCTTTCTTGCTTTCCCTTTCAAAATTAAGCTGTTAAATTAAGAACCTCACCTATACCACACCTGACATTTAAGCTAAACCAAGAGAGCTCCACTGCTATCAGCAGAACCCTCTATGCACCAATAACTAAGCACATTTGCATTCAGCTGCAGAATTAGGACCTCAGCATGACAGATTTATCCTAGATGTCATCTAAAACAAACTGTCTTCAATACCAGCAATAAAATTACCATGTTCGTCCTGCAAATCAGTGTTACATTCTCAGGGAACCGTTTCCTTCAAATCAAAGGCATAAGGCCCCCTCTTGTGGCAATACTTTATTAATGCTAAGAGAAAAGCATCAAGACATGCTTACATTACATATTGATATACTAAAACATGTTCTTACGACTACATTTTCATAACACTGTAAAACATACATAAACCAGCCCTTTTATGAGTACTCTTACTGGAGTGACTGGACAGGAAACATTACAAAAACATGTGCATGAGCAAGGAGCAAAAAGATAAGAATTCTGCCAGCAAGATTACTTCAATACTGAAGGTGAGATGGAAGTAAAACATAAAAATATAAATGTCAGAAATCTGAGTCTCAACAGCTTTGGGGTTTTTGGTTGGTTTGTTTGTTTTTTTTTTTTTTTGACAGTTAATACAGACTGCAAAAGAAAGGAAAATAAATTATGTTAAATTTCATTAACTGCTCTAGCCTGTAAACAGCTAAGTGACACTGCTGTTACAAGGAATTTGCTGACTCCGCAGAAATTAAAAGCTTGTATTGAAGACTCAGTTCTAAATCTTTAGCTCTAACTCTCACAGTGAAAAACCTCCACTGATGGGAGAACTGAGGATAGAAAGTTCATTTCCTTTCTTTTCTCACTGTCATTGCGAGGAAAGGAAATAAAGATTAAAGGTAAATACACTGAAGTAGGAGCAGGTGCTGAATAAAAAAAAAAAAAAGCTGGCAAACTTATTTTCATTATTGGTACATAAGAGAAAGATTTCAGATGATCTGAAGGATTTTTAAGTAATAAACAGGTGGACTGAGCGTATAACACTGTAAGCACACAGGCTATCAGAGTCAGGAAACCTGTATTTTAGTGTCTGTACAACTCACGAGCAGATGCTAAACTTTTTCTGTTTCTCCATCTCTACCTACATAGAGACCTGTTTACTGTACCTGCGCTCTAGGGTCCCAATACCAGTTAAGTCTTTAGGCATTCCGTTATCACAGAGATGTCAGAGGCTGGTGTTTTGGTTCAACTTACATTCAAGTTCATTTGTAACTAAAGTCAGTACATCTGCAGTCTGTTTAAATAAAATAAACCATCTAAATAAAGACCGATTCAGTTCTGATTGAGAGAAAATAGCCTTATATTTTAGGTTCAGAATAGGTTTAACTTTGAGAATGTAAGGATACTCACATCATAGTTCTGAGCCAGATACATCCCAACCACATTGCCAAGAGTAAAACCAAGCTAATAAGGAAGAAAAGGAGAAAATAACAGTTAACGTCCTTCCATCAAAAGCATATTGGTTAAAATTTAAAAAATAAATATATAGTAATATTGCAAGTCATGTAAAGACTGAAGGTCTTCAATTTCACTCCTACTGAATTTCTCACCTTACTTCCAGAGGGGTACAATTTTACCTATCCTCCTCACCAAGATAACCCTGCCATAATTTCCAAAACACAGTACCATTGGGTTTTCAATACACATCTCCAAGACTACTTGGATCAGGCTACGATCATCTTTGTAAAATTCTCTGCACACCCACAAAGGCAGTAACTTCTATAAAAATGGGAGAGACAGAAGCAGGGACCTACATAACAGAGCTCTTGGTCCATGGCTGGATATACTAAAAAGATGCTCAGTGCTGGAAAGGGACATACATTTACAAAGACATAACACAGTAATATACAAAGAAAAAAGGTTCACAGGCTTGAAGGCCAGAAGCTCTGACTGCAAAAAGACACACTCTCACCTTAAAAGTTTTAATAGTAGAGCTTCTCCATCAACTTAAACTGATGCTACTTCTCTTCTGCAGACCCCTTCAACCCCAAGAGATTAGTTTTGAGCCAAATCCACTCTGATTGAGGGCATTCCCTAATGAAGCACTGCTGGTTGGAAGCAGGGCACAACGTCTTTTGACAACTGTGCCGACTTGTAGTTGCTGAAGGGTGTCTATGAAAATGTCTATGAAAATACACCCTGGAAGGAGAGCAAGAACAAAACAAGCACAGTTCCTGGCCCAGACTCTTTGTCCAATCAGGAAAATCCTCAACTGTAAGAATGCTTCTGAAGTAGGAGAAATTATTCTCTTCAAAGACAGGTGATGAGATCTTAATTCAGCAGCTCCACAAGATCCTAGATTTCATTTTTATTGTAACATTTCACAATAAGTATGTCCTATATTATGAAAGCTATTTTGGAAGGGAACATTACTAATGCTGTGCCTTCATTCACTGACAGTAGACAAATCACTGTATAACAGCTGAAGCCAGTTCTGTTTAAGAAAATTGTTATTACTCACGGTCACTGCTTCAAAATAAGACTATTTTAAGAAAAATAAAACCACTGTCCACAATAACTTTGCCATCACATCCTGGCTAGACAACTTTACCATGCCCAAAGCAGGATACAGTACGGATCATCTTTTCAGTGATTCAGACTCTGGTGAAAACCTAACTACAGAAAACTAAAACTGGTTGACAACTGCCAAATGACTGCAAGTTACTTCAGTGTTTTCTTAAAAAAAATTTTGGTCGCATTCTTTATTTATTATTATTTTTTAAGGAGCTTAACTTTAATAATTTAAGAAAAAGTAGAGTTCTTTTTGTGGGTACTGCACTGGTCATTTGCTCTTGTAGTTTCAATTACCAGTTAAAGAAGTACTCTAGGAGATATTAACAAACACAGCACTGACATAAACCAGGTGGAACATCATTCTAGCAGAGGAGAATTACCTTTGTCTAAGAACTCACTTGAAAACACAAGCCAGGTCTTTGTTTATTAGCAGTTTTCTAGGTTTTCACCCCAGAAGACTTCCAAAGAAGGGGTAACTATCATATCTGCCTATTTGGTACAAACAGTACGGAGATCAGTGCTCCTTTTAAGCATACTCCTTTACTGAAAAGTCTAGCACTGCATTCAAGAGCAATCCACCCAGTTACATTTACTTTAGTAGCTGACAATTCCATCACAGGGAAAAACAAACAAACAACAACAACAAAAAGAACCACAAAACCCCTCCACTATTTAGATTTCAATTATGTGAAAAGCAAAAGATACAGACAATTAAACTGTGCATGTTAATGAAGGACCACAGGGCTGATGAGAGTTCAGGGTCTTTCTGTTTCTGCCCAGCATTTCATGTTGTATTTTAAACAAATGTTTATTTAATGCTTAACTCTGGATAGCAAAACCCTAAGGTTTGCAAGATCATCCCTTTATCTCCCTGCTACAGCCATAGTAAGAGCTCAACACCCAATCTACACCCAAAGGGAAGAGACACTCAGAATTAGTACATATTTTTCTAACTTTCATGTGCTAGCGAGGAAATAAAAATTAGTAATTTTTTTTTATTTAGGAACAATAAATAACAAAAAAAAAAATAGCAAGCAGTAGAATTGATAAACACAGAAACTTGGGTTTCTCTCCACCGGAGTGGAGAGACACTATAAACAGCTACAGGAATGATGGAGGCTTTCTTATGTGTTATTATGAAGGTAAGAAATAGGCCTCATTTACTCATTTCATAAAAATATACAAGACTTTGTCAACTTACAGTAGGCCATCTGTTCTTGCTCTGTATCAACACTTGGTATGAAGGCAGCATGAAACTTATTATTCTGTAACTAAATTACTCTTCCTCCAACAGAAAATGAGACTATCTCTTATTGTTTGTACTTACTGGGACATATCTGAAGACAAGTAAAACACTAAGGCATCCCTCACATCCCCAGAATGAAAACCATGAGGTTACTTCCATGCTTTGCTACAGGAGAAATCAGCAGCTTTTTGGTCAAGTAAATTATTTCAAGACTTGGCAATAAAACTATCAGTATTGATCTAGTCCTTAATGAACAGTGGCCAGGCACCTAACTTGAGATACCCAGAATAGTTTAGGGGAAAGACAGAAATGCATGTTAAAATGAGAAAAGTACAAAAACATTCAGCCTTTTAATTCTGGTGTTCTTCAGGGGGATTTAACAAAAGGCAGTAACGGGACACGATCCTTTGCCTTAACTTCTATATATAAAAACCTACATCTCCAGATATTAATTGTTCAGGGTGCCCAGGATGACAGGAACTGAAAACGTGCCCTCACAGAAGGGAGATATATATGCTAATACAAAGACATTTGAGAAGCAGAAGGGCATCACCGTGAGCAAGCAAAATCTGCTGTATCTGCAGTGCAAATTAACGTCATGACTAGGAAGAAAACCAAACCAAACCAAGGCAGGAACTTCATTTCCACAGCAATTTAAAGGCACCGTTTGGTGGGCGCGGGGATAAGCCAGGCGGGTACAGAAAGCAGGGCGAGGAGGCTCCAAGGGCCAGGGCAGGTCTGAAGAAGCCGGAGGAGCTAACCCGCCCGAAGCCGCACGCACAAGGATGCTGCGGTGTCGGGAAGACAATGCCAGGAGCAGGCCCCGCGTTGAAGCGGCCTCAGGGCCACAGGGGCGAGTCACCCCACGGGCTAGGAAGGCCGAGGACCCAGGGACTGAGAAGAGAAGCCGCAGACAGCACCCCAGACAAGGGAGCGTAGCGAAGGGGAAACCACCCGCCCTCCGCTGGGTCTCCCCGGAACCGTCCGCAGGTGCGGGCGGTGACCGCACACAGCCAATTTCCTCCCTCAGCCGAGGAGCGGCTCCCGCCCGCCTCGCTCCGCTCCGCCCTGCCGTGAAATGGCGGCACCGCGGAGCCTTACCAAGAACTGCAGCATGGCGCCTGCCTGCCTGCCTGCACCCCTACTCGCTGGGGAAGTCAGGCGGGCGGCGACGGCTCCTCTTCCGGGTGCCGGACCGCCCTCGCTGCCAGCGCTGCGGAGAGGGCTGGGCTGAGCGCCCTCTGCTCTCGCCCCTTGGGCGGCTCCGGGTTTGGGGCCCCCCCGAGGGTGACATTCTGGGAGGCGGCTTCCCGCCTGTTTCGGGGATAAGGAGCCGCGGAAGGGGGCTGTTGACCGCCTTTTAAAGCACCGCTTCCACTGTACAGGGAGGTGTCTGGTGGCGGCCGTGGAGCCTGCTGCTGTCGAGAGGTTGCCGAGCTGTTAAATGAGAGTCCGCGGTTTTGTATCTCAGGTGATTTCAGACTGCAGAAAAAGATCAAGGGAACTGGGCCTCTAGATGCGGGTGAAATACTGTATGATTTGGGTGTCCCCTGCCTCAGTTCTTGGGAAATCTCAGCCTCACATGCCAGAAAAGGCCAAATGAAAGGCTTTTGTTTAGTTGGTTTTTACCATTTTGTTTTGTTACCTCTTCCTTAGGCAGTACTCGCTACATCACATGTGGGGTACCAATGGCCAGGTTGAGTTCCCCAGTGTAGGAAAGACTTGGACAGGCTGCAGCGAGCTCAGCAGAGGGCCCCGGATCTGATCAGGGCTGGAGACCTCCCTGCCGGGAGAGGCTGAAGAGTGTGATCTGTGCAGCCATGCGGGGGTCCTAACAGCAAGTCTCAGGGCTTACGAGGTGGGTATTGGTCAGTCATGCTCTTCATAGTTGCATATAATGAGAGCATGAGAGACAGAAGGGGTAAGATGAAATGAGAGGACTGGGCTGGATTTAAACACAGACAGTTTTGTCACTTGGGGAAGCACGCAGGCAGGCAGGCAAGCAATCGGCACAGACTGCCCAGAGAGATGGTGCCATCTCCAGCTTTGGAGGTTTGAAAGACCCACCCGGGTTAAACTCTGAGAAACCAGCTCTAAGCTCAGAGCTGATCCTTCCCTGAGTAGGAGGTTGGACTAGGGGCTTCTCGAGGCTCCCTCCAATGTGGATCATCCTTAGTCACTGTACTTAATTGAGATTTGGGCAGTAAATATCAGTTAGGGAGACTTCTGCTGAAAATCATCAGGAGATCAGAGACTGTGTTGCACTATATTAAAAATATTTTTACATACCATTTCAGATTACAAAAAAAACCACAAAAGCCCCAACAAATAACAAAAACAAAAAAAAATCCCAACCCCCTGCCAAAAAAACCACAACCCAAACCAACCAACCAAAAAAACCGAACCCAAGCCCACACCCCCCAAAAAAAGGGAAAAAAACCCACAAAAAAAATCCCCCCCCCCAAAATAGCCCACAAACCCAACACCAACAAGTAGAAAAAAAAACCACAAACAAACACAAAACAAACCAAACCCAAGTCATCATTCCCCCCCCCCCCAACCCCTCCAAAACCCCAAAACAAAACAACAAAACTCAGGTGGCTATTTTGGGGCTATTAGGCAACTCCACCCTGAAACCAAGTTATCTCAAACTAAGCCTCCATTCCCAGAAAACTCAAATGTTTCGTCTAGTAGAAAACACAAAGCTTACTGCCTTCCTGGGTCAGGTGCCTTGGTGAGAGGTGAAGATGTATCTTCTACTGATTTTAGGAAAGGTAGCACAGAAAGACAGTAAATAACTTTTGCGCCTGGTGATAATGTAGTGAGGAGCTGGGCTTAAGGGAACTTTGTCCTGAGTTTCAGGCTATCCCAAAGCAACTGTATTGTGCTTCCTGCCCTGGGCCAGTGCTAACAAATGGAACTGGCATGCAGAGGTTTGGATGGATGTGGCACAGAAGCCAAAGTTGGGATTCCTTGCCTTCTGGAATGGCTCTCCCAGGAGCCTTGGAAACGAGCTTGATTCTGGAAACAGGAACAGAATGTCTGGTAATTGTTTTCCTGATGCTGAGGCCTTCTACATGTGTGCAGGAGGTAGTATTACAGACTCCATGGACACGTCAGAAATTAGAAGGAGCAAGGCTTTCAGTAATAATGTCTCCACAGTACCACTGCAGAATGACAAGGCCTTTCCTGTTGTTTGTTCATTAAAAATGTTGTTGTGCTTAAACTGTGATGAGTGCAATATGTTAGGCACTCTTGGCTCAGCAGTACCGTACACAGTTCTTTTCCTACATGCTATGAATTTCTGCTGTGACATTTAACAGGCAGCGAAAAAATATTTCTTTCCTTTAAAGCAAATCCATTCCATTTGCATCAGCCAACACTGAATCATTTTGAGTTAGAGACTGTAGAGGGTGGATATGGTGGATGGCATATGTTATTGGAAGGAAGAGCTTAGTCTGACAGCTATAAATACAGCTATCATGCTTTTATAGCTGGGAAAAAGAAGAGAAAAAGAAAAAAGAATCAGAAATAGCCCTTCTTTTTTTGAGCTCCCCCAAATATGCCTTCACCTCAGACCAGAGTCTCAATAAGCAGGCAGCACTTACTCCAGTCTGGGCGTTGGCTGTAATTTGGTTGGAGTGCATTTATTTAACCTTGAAGAAGAGGCTGACAAGACTCCCCATCTCACAGCACCACTATTGGTATTCTGGACAACGTTCAGGAGGCGGGAGGGGTCCACTGTGCTATCTGGCACCCATTTTGTTTTGGTTGCTTGGGGATGGGTGGGTTACATGGCCTGCTTGTCATTTGCTTTGCTTTTCTCCTTCCCTCTTGTCCTTCCAGAGGGTGGTACAAGTCATAATCCTTCTCAGACCAGGGGCTTGATGCTGCATGGGCTTTCTTTAAGGTAGCTCTTGAAGCTTCTCTTGTAGCTACCAGCTGTTGTGACAGAGATTTCGTTACAGCATGTGGAAAAAAGGATGGGATGAGCAGTAGCAGCCCAAAGGGGAGTGCATTGAGCTTGCGTGATACTGAGCTGGCTGCACTCAGCTGACTACCCCAGAAAAACCGGGGCTCAGTGAGAGTGACAGCTATTTGCAGCATCTTTGCTTTATCCTTTTCCACCTTGCTGTTACACACACACATTTTAGGAAATGGAGTCTTCTGTGTGGGAAAACAATAGGTCTGAATCCAGAAATGTGAATATCTGCAGTGTAAAGAAGAATGTAAAATTCATGGAGCACCAGTGAGATCTCAGGAGCCTCTGCATGCATTCAGTCAAAACCAAAGCTGAAATGCTGATTATCAAGTAATGAGTTCTTCAGTCACCTGTAGACAAGACATGTATATAGTCTGATAATTTTGAACAATAACTATGTGCAAGTAAGTTGCAGTAATACCCATACATGTAATGAACATCTTTGAAGACCAATTGTCCCTCATAACCAAATATCTTGAAGAAAAAGTTACTTAAAATAAAAAACCCCAAACCAAACCAAACACCAACCCCCCCCAAAGCAATAACACCCCCCCCAAAAAAAACAACACAAAAAAATCACAAAATCCCACAACAACTAAACCAAACCAACTCATATTTGCAACTGAAACAGGGACAAAAACAGGTGTAAAAAAGGTACAGTTTTGCGTATATTTGCTGATGGTTAAGACTTTCTCAACATTATCTGTTTTACTCAGGTGCTCTACAAGTATAGTCACGCCCATGAAGCATGCAGAAAGCTTGTTTGTCAGGAACTACTGGCTATTCTACATTATTCTCTATTGCTAAATACATTTTAACATGCATGTGCAAGTATATATATACTCCAATCTATGGAAACTGAAAATACCTTTCTTAAAGGATTATATTTAATTCACCCCATTTTTTATAATATTTGCTGATGTATGAACATACCAGGACAAGGCAGTTTTGTATGTGATTTCCTTGAGCTAGAAATTCTCTAAAATAAACACCAGATGGGGCAAGAAAACCACATATTAAAATATCTGTTTACATTTTGTTATGGTTAATCCTTAGGTTTTGTTTTCTGCCCATTTTCTTTTCTTTGCCTTAGTAAAATATCTTCAATATTATCTGTGAGTTTCTGAGGAGATGTAATTAATTATCCAGGACTTTTTTGTCTTGCTGTGAAGACATGCACTATTTTAGTACTTAATAGATACAGAGTGTATTATACACATAATACATGGAGAACAATATGAAATAACAAAACACAATTGCAGGGCAATCAGTTTATCAAAAATTCATCAGATTTTACCAACTTTAAATATACAAAGTATAATTGCCTACCTGAAAAAAAAAACAACTAAATATGAGGAGTTTGCATCTCCTCATACCTTTTTCAGTGGAAGCGTGGTTTATTGTTAATTTAAACTTGCTGGAAAGATCTTTTTCAAAATAACATTCTTTCCTTCCTATCTCCTCTTAAATGCTGTATCCCAGAGATCCTCCAGAGTTACTCAGATCAATAGCCTTGTGTATTTTCTACAGAAAAACAAAAAGCATCACTGACTCATCATACAAGCCTGAAGTTGTTTAAGGAGAAGTTTTCAAATGTGGTTATTGGCTAGGAGAGATAGTTGTGTTATGGTGGTTCATACTGACCCTTTTAAAGTCTAATGTATGCACAGAGCACTAATAGTTTCAAAGATAGTTTGTGACATGGCCTAGTTCTGTACCCAAAAAAAAAAAAAGGTAAAAAGTAAAAAAAAAAGTCAAACTGCTTACTTTATAAAAATGTCTATATTTAAAAAAAAAAAAGGAATCACGTTTTCCTCATAATGTATGTGAAAGTGTTAAGTCTTCCTCATGTTAGCTGCACAGTTGAGTCTGCCCAGATCTATGTAAATGATTTGTTCTGGGCAGAGAGAACAGCTTAGCGCTTCCTAGCACCCTCAGACAACTTGCCAGTATTTGGTCCTCTGCTGCCCCAGTGCCAATGGGCCATTACCAGCTTTTACCCTGAAGCTACAAGATCTAGAAATGTTCTTTAAAAAACTCCAAGCCAAATGAGATATTGCCCCCAGGACAAGGAATTCAAGAACACTGAAGCCTGACTCAAGCAAGAAATTACTGAGCAATTGTACCTTTCTGATGGAGTATGGCCTGGCAAGGGTAGTAGTATGAAAAGGAGCAGATAGTACATGCATAATTCCTCTCTCTACCAGATCTGCAGAGGGTATTATTGCCAGCCATGGAGATCTAGCTGGCA